TAGCTTTATAGAAAATTTGAAGTCATGTAATGCGATTCCACCAGTTTTGTTGTTTTTGTTCAGGGTATCTTTGGCTACTCTAGGTCTTTTGTATTTCTATATAAATTTTAGGATTTTTTTTTCTATTTCTGTAAAGAATGTCATTGATATTTTGATACAAATTGCATTGAATCTGTAGATAGCTTTAGATACTATGAACATTTTAATAATACTGATTCTTCCAATCCATGAACATGGAATATCTTTCCATATTTTTGTGTCCTCTTCAATTTCTGTTAACAATGTTTTATTGTTTTTATTGCAGAGATCTCTCATTTCTTTGGTTAATTCTTAGGCATTTTATTTTTAGCTACTATAAATGGAATTACTGTCTTGATTTCTTTTCTGGTGTTGTTTGCTGTTGGCATATAGAAATGCTACTGATTTTTATATGTTGGTTTGTATCCTGCCATTTTACTGAATTTATTTGTTCTAAGAGTTTTTTATGTGTGTGGAGTCTTTAGGTTTTTCCAAATATAAGATCATATCATCTGCAAACAAGGATAATTTGACTTCTTCCTTTCCAGTTTGGGTTGGAGCTCCATTGTATGTTATCTGTTTTTGAGGAATCTCCAAAACAAATCTTGCTGCTTTTAAGATCCTTTCTTTATCCTTGACCTTTGGGGGTTTGATTAATAAATGCTTTGAGGCAGTCTTCTTTAGGTTAATTCTGCTTAGTGTTTTATAACTTTCTTGTACTTGAACATTGGTATCTTCCGCTAGGTTTGGAAAGTTCTCTGTTGAATAAACTTTCTACCCCATCTCTCTCTCTCTCCCTCTTCTATAAAGCCAATAACTCTTAGATTTGCCCTTTTGAGGCTATTTTGTAGATTCTGTAGTTATGCCTCCTTTTTTATTTTTTTTTTTCATTCATCCCCTCTGACTGTGTATTTTCAAATAGCCTGTCTTCAAGCTTACTGATTTTTTTCTTTTGCTTCATCAGTTCTGCTGGTAAGGGGCTGACACATTCTTTAGCATGTGAATTGCATTTTTCAACTCCAGTATTTCTGCTGATTCTCTTTAATTATTTCAGTCTATTTGTCAAATTTATCTGATAGGATTCTGAATTCCTTATGTTATCTTGAATTTCATTGAGTTTCCTCAAAATAGCTATTTTTAATTCTCTGTCTGAAAGGTCTCATGTCTCTGTCTCTCCAGGATTGATCTCTTGTATCTATTTTTTTTTTTTTTGAGACAGAGTTTCACTCTTGTTACCCAGGCTGGAGTACAATGGCACGATCTCGGCTCACCGCAACCTCCGCCTCCTGGGTTCAGGCAATTCTCCTGCCTCAGCCTCCAGAGTAGCTGGGATTACAGGCACGCACCACCGTGCCCAGCTAATTTTTTGTATTTTTAGTAGAGACGGGGTTTCACTGTGTTGACCAGGATGGTCTTGATCTCTTGACCTCGTGATCCACCCGCCTAGGCCTCCCAAAGTGCTGGGATTACAGGTGTGAGCCACTGCGCCCGGCCGCTCTTGTATCTATTTAGTTCATTTGGTGAGGTCATGTTTTTCTGAGTGGTCTTGATACTTGTAGATTTTTTTTTAATGTCTGTTCATTGGAGAGTTAGTATGGGCTTGTTGGTACCCATCCTTCAAGGGAAGGCTTTCCAGGTATTTGAAGGGACTTGGGTGTTGTGATATAACTTTTTGGTTCCTGCAGCCATATATCTTCTTTAGGGGACACTCCAAGCCCAGCAAGACTGTGCCTCTTATAGGCTCACAGAGGTACCAACTTGGTAGTCTTGGATAAGATCTAGAAGAATTATCTGGTTTACGAGGCAGAGACTCTTATCCTCTTCCCTTACTTTCTCCCAAACAAGTAGAGCTTCTGTCCATATCCTAAGCTGCCTAAAGCTGGTGGAAGAGTGACACAAGCACCCCTGACCACCATCATTGGGACTGTGCTGGGTCAGACCCAAGGCCCTCTGTAACATCACCTGGCTACTGCCTATGTTTTCTCAAAGCCCTGAGGCTCTACAATTAGCAGGTGGTGAAATGAGGCTTGTGTTCTTCCCTTCAGGGTGACAAGTTCCCCCTACCCCTGGGTGGGGTGCCCACAGATGCCAACTAGAAGCCAGGGCCTGGAGTCAGAAACCTTAGGACTCTGCCTGGTGCTGTATTCTACTGTGGTTGAGCCAGCATCCAAACCACAATACAAACTCCTTCCCTCTCTTCCCTCTCCTTTTCTGAAGCACAAGGAGTCTCCCCCTATGCCCACCACATCTGGGAATGTCCTAGGTTGCACCTGAAGCCAGCATGTCTCTGAGTCTCACCCAAGGCCCATGGTGAGTACCTTGGGTATTGTTCCTGATTTTTCAGGGCCCAAGAGCTCTTTAGCCAGCAGGTAATGAATTTTTCTACAACTAGTTTCTTTCCTTCAAGGAAGTGGGTTTCCTTCTGGCCCAGGACTAGTCTAGAAATGTTGTCCAGGAGGTACAGCCTGGAATAGGGGCCTCAGGATTCTACCTGGTGCCCTATCCCACTGTGGCTAAGCTTGTATCCAAGTCCCAAGACAAAGTCTTCTTTATTCTCCCCTCACCTCTCCTCAAGCAGAGAGGGAAGAAGTCTCTCCCAAAGCTGTGAGCTGTGCTGTCTGGGGTTGCAGGAGGGGTGGCACAAGCACTCCCTTGGGGGCCCAAGCTGGCATCTTACTAGGTTGCTTGCCCCCCAAGTCCACAGTCTCTGAGACCAGCACAGCACCAGGAGGACTTCCCCAGGAATTGCAGTCCTTCTGACCTGGACTGCATTACAATTTTATTTAGAATCCCAGAGCACATGAGCCCACAGAGGCTTGCTGGCATTCAGGTTCCATCTGCTGAAATGGGCAATTCCACCTCTGGCTAGGGCTGGTGTGAATGCTCCCTCCGTGGGTGCTGACTGAGTTCTGCCTGGTGTTGCTTTCCACTGTGACAGGGAGGCACTGAGTTCCAATGCAAAGTCCCACAATCCCTGTGCTTTCCCTCCCACCCCAAGTACGCAAACTCTGTCTCCATGGCACACACAGACAGTCACTGCTGGTCTATGAAGGAGGAGTAACATCAACAATTCAAGACTATCTTTCTGGCTCTCTTCAGGGCCTCTCTCAGTGATATGAAGTTAAAGTTAGGTACTGTGATCACTCCTCTGAGTTTTGGTTTTATGAAGCTTTTTGTGGCATTTTAAAATTTGGTGTTTCTGAGGAGAGGATGATCAATGAAGGCTTCTATTTGTTCATCCTGCTCTACTTTAAGTTATTCCCAATGTATAGATAATGCCACTAAAATGAAAAAAGATTAATTAACTTGCACAAGGTCACCCAGCTGGTAAGTGGTAAAACAGAGTTGAACTAAGTGTAACTCCTTTTTACTTTTTGCCTTAACACATGATGCTTAGAGTGGCAGCACATTTATATTCATTTGATCAGTTTGTCAAATAGTTTGGGACTCATATAGAGAGGCTAGATCGGAATAGGCTTCTCCGTTGGTTTACCATCAGTTGCAGAAACAACAGTACCAACCCATTTAAACCTTCAGTAGAAAATCACCAGTTCTTAAATAGCTTCTCCATGCATGCTGTCCAAGCTTTATAGCTTCATTCCATGGAGGAGACTGGGGGAAGTGTGCTTAATCCATCTTAACTGGAACCAGAACTTATCACCACCAGTTTAAATCCCCTCAAGTACAAGTATTTTTTTCAGTCAAGATTCTGGCAGAAAATAGTGGCACATTAAAACTGGGTAAAAGGCACAGAGTTTGCTTAAAAGACTATTTAAAAACAGATGTGAGGTATCTACCAAAATCCTAAAGGATAGTATCTAGGGGCTAATGACAGTAGGGGCATTTCTCTTCAGAGGACTGAAGGGACAAAGAGATAGGGCACTTTCCACAACCTGAAGACACAGAGGCTGTTGTCTTCAGTTATGAGATCAAATAACCAGTGTTGACACCACAGGAGGATAACTAATCTGACCTCCTCACCTCTTTTCTGATCTCCCACTGGCACTTTCAATAGACTGAACTCGATGGAAGCCAGAATATAGTTAGTGCAGGTAAGCCTCCCAGGATATGTGCAGACAGAGGATGGAGGAAAGGACTAGAGAAGCACATGGAAGGTATTCAGTTGAGTGGTGCTACCACAGGCAAGTGAGAAGACCAAGTTAGGTACATATAGTCTTTCCTTCCATTCTTCCACTTATTTATTCAACTATTATTTGTTGAAGACATAGAGTTTATGATCTAGACCATGGACCTAGGTTTAGTTTACTAATAAAAGGTTAAAAATGTTCCACTAAAATTAATAAAGATAGAGGAATACCATTTTGCCAATTGATCAGGTTGCCAAGTTTGATTCTCCTAGGAAATAAACACAATAATATTGGAGTAACTCTTCCAAAAAATTAATGTGCATTTGAATCACCTGGGGATCTTTTTAAAATGCAGATTTTGATTAAGTAGATCTGAAGAGGGGCCTGAGACTCTGCATTTCTAACAAGCTCCAGGTTCTGCCCATGGTTCAGGGATCACACTTTGAGTAGCAAGGTCATGAAGTCTCTTTCATTGACCTTTGGTCTTTAGTCTCTTTCATTGACCTTTGGTCATTAGTCTCTTTCATTGACCTTTAGTCATTAGTCTCTTTCATTGACCTTTGGTTCCACTCTACAAGCAGCAGTAGCATAATAAAATTTTAATACATGTACTTGGAGATTTACTCACATTTAAAAAAGATTTCAACTGAAGGATTTGTGAGCTTTGCCATGCAGCTATGCCATGCCTCAAACGAATCAATTAAGAGTTTTTTTCTTAAATGAATCATAGGACTAGTATTTTAAATGGTGTGTAGGTAGGCCACAATCCAGTGGCAACTCCACAATTTTGGTATGTAGGGGGTTTAGGGGCAGCAGTCCATCTGAGAGAGGATTGGGCTCCTTAAAGCTGCATGTTCCCAGCATGCATGCTGATTTCATATGCTTTTTACTTACCTGGTAAGCTTAGTCAGAGGGCTTAAGCCACTTGTCCCTAGTATGTTGTTTTCATGAGTCGGTTGGGAGAACAGTCTTCCTCAACAGCTTCTTGGCACTGCTATTTCCACTATCTAAAGGAAATCAGACAACAGGTAAATAAAACATAAGTTGGGAAATAATCTTTTTTAATTTCAGTACAAGTCATATAGCTTTCAGAATCTTTCAAGGTCAAGTTAACTTGCATTTTTAGTAAAATATATTTCAAACTTTACAATAGTAATGTTGGTAGAAAGGAGAACCTGAGAGAAAATAAATTACATTATAAGATCACTAATAGAGCTTTTTAAAAAATCCTATGAAGAGTTCTACAAAATGAATAAATACTTCCTTTTATTATATATTCCTGGTAGAAATAGAAGTCATTTATTCATACCCTAGTTTTTATACAGGTGGTCCCTGACTTCCAATGCTAAAAGTGACTCTTCGACTTTACAATGGTGTCAAAGTGAGATGCATGCATTATAAAATTTTCTTAGAATTTGGAATTTTATCTTTTGCCAGCAGCAATATGCGGTACAATACTCTCTTGCAATGCTGAGCAGTGGCAGGGAACCCCAGCTCCCAGTCAGTCACCCAATCACAGGGTAAAGAACCACTGTCCTGCAGGGCCCTGTGTGGCCAGATGATTTTGCCCCACTGTGGGCCAGTGTAAGTGAGCACGTTGGACGCAGGGTAGGCTAAGCCGTGATGTTCGGCAGGTTAGGGATATTAAATGCATTTTTGACTTAGGATATTTTCAACTTACAGTGAGATTATCAAGATATGACCCCATCTGAAATCAAGGAGCATCTGCATATTGGTTTGCTTTAAAGAAAGGGCACCATGATTCCTGTAAACCTCGATGCCTAGGGAATGAGTAGGCTTTTGGTTTTCTGCAACAGCATGATTAAAAAAAAAAAAGCTTGCCCAACAGCACAGGGAGCAGGTTAGTCACGTCAGGGATTATCGTACTGTGTCCTTCAGCATGTCCTCATTTGTGCTGCAATCTCCTTATGTTCCTAGAATGGAGGTGAACTTGTCCATCCAGGCTATCATTAGTTCATTTCACCATACGGTGGTTTAAGTACCGATAAGAAACCTGTCCTTAACCTGAATGCTCACTAAGTTAATGATGAGATCATGGAGAACACTCTAGGAGAAACAACAGTGGACAGGGGGTGGGTCCACCCAGATCCCTCTCCTGTCCTGCTGTTAACTAGCCCTCACTTCACTGCTCTCAACCTGTTTCCTCACTTGCAAAATGAGAGGGAGAATAAGATAATGATCCCCAATGCACCCAAATCTGTGATTCCATGAAAAGATTCATGAGAAAATCGTCACCCAAATAGCAAGTATTTTCTGAACGAACCTGGATTAAACATCTTCAATGGGTTCTTTTCACAGACGGGACATGAAAGCTTTCGGTGTGCACGTCTCATGCATTGAACCAGGATTATTCAAAACAAACTTGGCAGATCCAGTAAAGACACTTGAAAAGAAACTCGCCATTTGGGAGCAACTGTCTCCAGACATCAAACGACAATATGGAGAAGGTTACATTGAAAAAAGTGAGTTTCTGGGTGGGGCCAGAGTCCTCGGGAATTCTTTTTCCTGCACAGCATGAAGGAGATTCAAATACAGATGAAATAACAAGGCTCTCAGAGTAATACCCCAATAAGGATCTTAACTATGGATCAGGGATCTCCTATTAATTTCAGTGCCATCTCTCGCTTCTGTTTATAAACATTTCCTGAGCAATTACAAACAGCCAAGTTATCTGCTAACTACCTTATGAATTATATCATTTACTCCTCAAAATGTATTAGAAAACGAGCAGAGGCTTAGAAAAGTGAAATGTCCTGCCCAAGATTACACAACACCTCCTAGTCATGCCTGGACCTGAGCCCAGGCAGGCGACTCGAGCCCACATCTTCGCCTCTGCCATACCTCCTCACCAGCTGTACACTTGGCATTGTGTAAGGATTTATGGTGGTTACAAAGATAGAGAAGGTTCAGCCTTTGACCCTTAACTACTTTACAATCTAGTTCACAACAGGAAATAACCAAGCGAGAATGTAAAACAATGAAGCAATGCAGCACACATAAAACTGATCCTTTACTTCTTGGTGTAATCCAATAGCCCAGAAGTGGTGCTAGATGCTGTGGTTTCTAATTGCCAGGGAATTCAGACCCGGAAAAGAGCAATGCTGGTTAAGAATGGGGCAGGTCAGGTTTGAATAAGACCTAAAGGACAGGAAAGAATTATTTGGGTGGAAATTCTCTAGAGCAGGAACACATGAAGGATGAGATGGAAAGAGAGGTAACAAGTCAAGAGATTGAGTCAAAGATGGGAGAATAAAAATAAAGTTGACATAATGATGGCTAACAAATAGTAAATATTTACTAAGTGCTAGTCACCATTCTAAGTGTGTTACATGGATGCTCATTTAAAGTCCCTAAATAACCTCTACTATCATCTTCATTTTATAGAAATAGAGGCATAGAGAAGTAAATTACCAAAATTGTACCACCAGTGGGTGGAAGAGCTAGATTTGGACCCAGGCAGCCTGCCCCTGCCATTTCTGCTTGGCCATGGCGCAATAATGTGAACAAGGCATTAAGGGCTTTGGTCAGACTCCTGTTATCAGGGCTTCCCTTCCACCACAAACTTCCTGGCTCAGTTAAAGTTTACCTGATATTCCTGAAATACTTACCGAGCTCTGGCTTTGAGTTGAGCAAGGTTCCACCTAACTATGTGTAGTTCTGTCCCCCCATGTGCTCATGCCTCTTGATTGGTGGACTTGATAAGACAGTTAACTGTGGCAAGGTTCATGGTCAGGAGTTTTCAGGGCAAAGCTAAAAGCCAAATCAGACCTACCTGGAGGGGTCTTTTTTTTTTTAAATTTTTTATTGCATTTTAGGTTTTGGGGTACATGTTCAGAACGTGCAAGACAGTTGCATAGGTACACACATGGCAGTATGTTTTGCTTCCTTTCTCCCCTTCACCCACATTTGTCATTTTTCCCAAGGCTATCCCTCCCCAGCTCCTCCCTGCACTGGCCCTCCCCTTTTCCCCCCAATAGACCCCAGTGTTTAGTATTCCCTGGAGGGGTTCTTAAAATGACTGACTCCTCTGACCACCACTACCCAAACACACACACACACACACACACACATACACACGTACACACATTATCTATATATCAACTGAAATGTCTGGTCTGACAAACGTCTTAGTGCTCACGCCACTATAGGTTTAGAACCACTGCCGTCAAACGCTCTACTTTTCAGTTCCTGACTCTGAAGTTTCCATCTAAGACTGAACTAAATACTTCAGAAATAAAACCCCTCATTTAAATGAGTTTTCTGTTTGATATTGACACCAATACTTTTTAAATGCCTTTGAACATATTTCTGACATCCATCTCCAATTATTTTGGCTTGGTTCCTGATTCATGTGTTCTGCCTCAGAAATGCCAAAGGCATTGAGCCCAGGTTTACACTGGTTGCTCCTATTACAGTTTCCAAGTCAGGACTTGGAGATCAGCCAAAGGTACAGTCCCAAAGTAGACCACAAATTTAAAGTCATCTTTTATTAATTTCCTGAGCTGGGATAGTAGGAGTTTAAAATAGCCACTAAGGCTTATTAGGTTCTTTGAACAACTTGTGGCCAGTGGGCCTGAAGTTGAAAGAAAGATCTAACATCATAAACTTTCCCTTGAGAAGACACAACTCAGGTATGTTTTAAAAGTATGTGAGAATCATATGGTAATTTTGGGGGTAATCTCTATGCCATTTTCCATAATGGCTCTACTAATTTACATTCCCACCAATAGTATACAGAGTTTTTTTTTCTCCACACCCTTGTCAATACTTGCTGTCTTTTGTCTTTTGATAATAGACATTCTAACAAATGTGAAGTGATATCTCATTGTGGTTTTAATGTGCATTTCCCTGATGATTAGTGATGACAGACATTTTTTTCATATGCCTGTTGGCCATTTGTATCTTCTAAGTAAAGTCTATCCAGATTCTCTTCCCGTTTTTTAATCAGCTTATTTCTTTTCTTGCTGTTGAGTTTCCTATGTATTTTAGATATTAACTGTGCATAAGACGTAAAGTTTGCAAATATTTTTCCCATTCTATATGTTGTCTCTTCACTCTTTAAACTGTTTCCTTTGCTGTGGAGGTTTTTTGTATGATACAATCCCACTTATCTCATTTTGCTTTTGTTTAGTTTTGTGCTTTGCGGGTCATATCCAAAGAAATCCTTGCCCAGTCCAATGTCAAGAAGTATTTCCTTTATGTTTTCTTCCAGTAGCTTTTTTTTTTTTCTTAATATAAATAGAGTTGAGGTCTCACTATGATGCCCAGGATGGTCGTGAACTCCCTGGGCTCAAGTGATCTTCCTACCTCAGCCTCCCAAAGTGCTGTAATTACAGGCATTAGCCACCATGCCAGGCCTCTTTTAGTAGTTTTATAATTTCAGGTCTTATGTTTAACTCTTCAATCCATTTTGAGTTGATTTCTTTATACGGTGTAAGATTCAGTCTCATTGTTCTGCATATGGATATATTGTTTTCCCAATACCATGTATTGAAAAGACTGGGATTCTAAACCACCACCAATCCCTTATAAAATACTTGCCTCTCTAAAGGTACCTTCATTCATTATTCAAACATTTTATTGCATGAGAACTGGGATCCTTCTACCTTCCTGAGTCAGTACATTTGGGGATGAGTCTCTCTTTATTTACAGAATCATAAAGGCCTCTGGTATACAACTGTACACTCACATTGACATATTGCATGCACATACATGCACAAGCACATGTGCAACCCACAATTTCCATAGATACAGAATCCCCTAAAACAAATTAGAAATCAGGCCAGGAGTGGTGGCTCATGCCTGTAATCCAAGCACTTTGGAGGCCAAGGTGGGCGGATCACCTGAGGTCAGGAGTTCAAGACCAGCCTGAGGTCAGAGTTGCAAGACATGGTGAAACCCCGTCTTTATAAAAAAACAAAAACAAGAAAACAAAACAAAACAAAAAAGCAAATTAGAAATCAAACATACAACTTTCTAGGCTTAGGGGCCTCTTGGGCTTTATGAAGTATCATTTCTTCATTGCTTTAAAGCACTGGCTCTCAAAGCTTGATCCCGGGACCAGCAGCATCAGCATCATCTGGAAATTTGTTAGAAATGCACATTCTTGAGCCCCAGCTCATACCTCAGTCAGAAACTCTGGAGGTGGAACCCAGAAACCTGGGTTTTAATGAGCTCTCCAGTAGATTCTACTGCCCACCCAATCTTGAGAGCCTCTGGTCTAAAGAAAGCACTGCAGTAATCTTTTCTGAGGAATAGATAGTAAATCCTCTTAAGGAGCCACAATTATAATGGACAATTCAGAACAAATACCCTTGTATATTTCCTATCCTTTGCTCCCTAGACTTCCACTCTGCTTTCTCCTTCTTCCAAAGAGTAAATGTGCTTTTGTCTCCTTTTAGGTCTAGACAAACTGAAGGGCAATACATCCTTTGTGAACATGGACCTCTCTCTGGTGGTAGAGTGCATGGACCACGCTCTAACAAGTCTTTTCCCTAAGACTCACTATGCTGCTGGAAAAGACGCCAAAATTTTCTGGATACCTCTGTCTCACATGCCAGCTGTCTTGCAAGACTTTTTATTGTTGAAACAGAAAGCAGAGCTGGCTAATCCCAAGGCAGTGTGATTCAGCTGACGACAAACACCTGCTCCAGGCTATGCGATTGGCTGATTTCAAGAGCACGTCTCCTTTATCCTTACCTGCTCCAACCTGGACTTATTTAGATTGTGCTTCTTTGGATTACAAAAGGGAGTCCCACCATCGCTGGGGGTGTCCCAGGGTCCCTGCTCAAGTTTTCTCAGAAAAGAAGAACTGGAATGGTACATCACATAGGCAAGTCCGGCCCTGTATTTAGGCTTTGTCTGCTTGGTATGACGTAAGGGAAATGGAAAGACTTGCCCATTCAAAATTATCTTCACTGTGGCCTGCTCCGTGCTTATGGTCCCCAGCATTTAGAGTAACCTGTGGATGTTGAGTATCATCTCTTATCTAAATATTAAAGATGAGTCAAACATTATCATGAGTGGATAGATATGTTCTGTTATCTTGCCTAAAATGCCTCTGAAGGACTGAAGCTCAGTCCTGATAATCTTTGAAAAGGACAGGAAAACAAAGGGTGATCAGGCATTGTGTGACACTAGCATAAGCTAAGGACAGCAGTAAAACACGAGATGGAACTGCAAAGAGAAGGAAAGAAAAATATAGGAAAAGGAATAAGAGGACGGTAAAGAAGAACACACATAAAATATATATACATTTATTACATGAATTTATATAGAAATTATATATAAATATATATTATACATATAAAATTACATATATAATTATATGTATAATTTATATATATATATATTCATATATATGGAGAGAGACTCCCTGACATTCAGACAAACCTTCCTAAAGGGAGCTATGGAGGATGAACATCCTATTCAAGGCCAGTACAGGCAAGCCTCTCCTGAGCCAATTGATAAGATTGTTATAATTTGTTATAATTGTTACATATATGCCTACTTTTCAACTTGAATTGTAATATAGAAATGCCTAGAACAGTGTCTGGCACAAAGGGAGTAACAAGCATAAATACACAGAGTATTACAAAAGGATATTTAGGTAGATAAGCATTTCCTACTTAGCTACATCATCTTTTAATGTTCTCATATTCACCATGTGTTGTTCCATCTTGACCTTTGTACTTCAATGTATTTTTCCCCATATCTTCTTTAAAGCCAGTATCTTGCATTTTTTGTAAATGATAAGCCATTTTTTTCTCTAGAAGTTCTTGTTTCTACAATATTAAAGAAAATATATTGGTTAATATTAACTTGTCATTAGAAATATAAAACAATTTATTTAAAATGTGACAATATGTTAGAAATGGATTATCAGTCTTGTCTTGACTTGTAACGTTACAAAAATAAGAGAATAATAAAGGGTAAATTTCCATTGTGACCAAACACAAAGAATACATTTAATACACATGCAATTTACCTCTCTACACATCATCAGAGGACTAATCCAGTTTTTGATCAGACACAGTATCGTATCCATGGCTGCCCTGGTAAGTTAAAGTCATTTCTCAATGATCTTTAATTGGAAGATTCCTGAGGGCTTACCCAAATATCACTCAGGTCTACCAGACATAAACATAATATAGTACATAAAATGTGATTTCCCTTTGTGAGTATCTGGGCTACTGTTGAATGTACTAGAAAGAAGATAAATGCATATAGAAAAAAAACCCCAGAGATTCTCAGAGGGTTCTTGCAACATTTAGCAAGAAATGGATGAGCACATGTAAGACAACTACCCAAGACTACAGTAAAGACCTGCCTAAAGGACTGGGGAAACAGTCACTGGAACCTACCTAGGTGTAGAAAACATGTCTATTTCCACTAGAAATATTTCACTGTAAAGCTACACTGGGAAAACTTCATGAGTCATAAGGCTTTGAGTAGAGAACTAAGATGGCTCTTAACTCAGTAGCAGGGAATAACTAGCCCCAGATTAAACATGGCTCTGGCCCCACCAGCAAATCATAAAAGGCAAGACCTGTACAATCAAATTGTTTCCAAATAAATTATCTACATCCAAAAATTCTAAATAATATTTATAAGAACATAAAAATATTCAGTAAACAAAGTAAAATTTATGTCTGGCATCCAATCAAAGAACACTAGGTATAAAGAAACAGGGGAATATGACTTATAAAATAAGTAGATCAATCAACTGAATTGACTCAAAAATGACACAAATGAAACAATACAGTCAATATAATTGCAATTTGTATGTAAACAAAGTGAAGAAGAGATATGGAAGATATAAAAAGGTCCAAATGCAGTTTCAAATATGTGAGACGAGCAATACAATGGATGTATTAATGGTGGAGTAGACATTCCAAAGGATTAGATAATGTGAATTCAGCAACAGAAACCATCCAAAAGAAAACACAGAAGGGTGAATAAATGAAAAAATTTCAGTGAGATATGGGACAACTTCAAGCAGCCTAATATACCTGAAGAGAGGAGAGAGAAGATAAAATTAATATTTGATAATAATGACCTAAAATGTTTTAAATTTGATGAAAACCATAAACACACAAGTCGAAGAAGCCCAAAATACCAACGCATAGGAAACAAGAAAAATTTCACCAAGGCATAACAATAAAATTTCTCAAAATTACTGATAAAAAGAAAATTTTTAAATTTTCTAGAAAAGCAAATTATGTTACACAGAGAAAAATAAAGTTTAAAGACAGTAGATTTTCCTTGGAACCAGTGTAGAGAAGAAAGTGAAACACCATCTTTAAAGTACTAAAATAAAAAAACAGTCAATGGTGAATTCTATACCTAGTTGACATAACCAATATATACTCAAAGAAAAGTTTTCAAAAATAAGGGTAAAGTCTTTTGCAGACATAAAAAAGTAAGTTGCAGCAGGAGCAATGTTAAAGAAAGCCCTTTAGATAGAAGAAAAAAATGATAGCAGATGAAAATATGGGTATACAAAAAAAAGAATAAAGAGCATAAAACATTTAAGTATATGGCCAAATATAATATGTGATTTATTTACATCATGATAAAAGATAAATAATTATTTAAATAAACTTGACAATGTAGTGTGGGATTTATTACATATATGATTATAAATAAAATAAATGACCAGAATAGCATAAAGGCCAAATGGAAAAAAATAAAGCATAATATTGTAATGTTCTTATATGTGAAATAGTATAATATAGTATAATCACTCTTTACAATCTAGTCTAATAAGTTAAAGATATATACTATAATCCTTAAACCAAATGGTAAATTTTAAAGAAGGAAACAATATGTAAAATACATACAAAAGGATCATTAAAAATCCAAAGAAAAAGGCAGAAAATGCAGAAAAGAACACAGATGAGACAAATGGAAAACAAAGAATGAGATGGCAGTTAGTAAACTATCATGTTAATAATCATACAAAGTGTAAATGCTACAAACACCTAGATTACATGCAGTTTTTGGATTTCATATGAAAACAAAGCCTATCTATATGAGTAGTAACCACACACACACACACACACACACACACACAGAGACAGAGAGAGAGAGAAAGAGAGAGAGAAATAAAGACCTATATTTGGTCTTAAAAGTAAAACACAAGAAAACAATATGCCTTGCTAACAGTAATCAAAATAAAGCTGAAGTGGCAATATTAATATTACATGAAATATTAGAGCAAAAAATGATACCAGAAAATATTTTCATAATAATAAAAACAATCAAATCACCAATAGACATAACAATTCTAACAATTTTCACATGATACAGAGCGTCAAATAAATAAAACAAAAACTGAAATACTAGCCAAATCCAAAAATATAGTCAGAGATTTCAATAATTCTCTATCTCAATAATTGAGAGAACAAGTAGACAGAAATTGAGCTAGAATTTAGATTTGAACAACTCTGTCAATGAACTTGATATCTAGAGAACAGTTATAAAATACTTCACCCAACTACAGTAGAAATAAAATATTTTTCAAGTACACATTTGTGATTTACCCAAAAATGTAATTTGTGATGATAAAATAAATCTAAATATATTTAAAAAGATTTGGGAACTAAAACTGTGTTATTTGACCAAAATAAAAGTAAATTTGAAATAAACAGCAGAAAAATCTTGGATACATTCCAAATATTTAGAAGCTAAATGACACAATTCTAAATAACCAATGATTCAAAGATAAAATTAAAAGATAAAGTGTTTTGAATTAAATAAGTATAAAAACATAGCATACCAAAATGGGGACTCTTGATAGAATAATGTTAGGAAAATTTAGACAGTACTCAATTTCTATACTAGGAAAGAAGAAAGGTCTTCAATTAATGACTTCCACCTAAAGAGAGAAAGCTATTTAACAAAAAATAAGTATATAAAAAAGATCAGAACAGAAATTGAAAAAATAGAAAGAAAAGAGACAAATTTATTAAAACTAAAAACTTACAGTTTGAGAAAATCAGAAAATGATAAATAAGAAGAAAAGGAAAAAGCAACTCTAGTTGGGACTAACAAGGAGAAAAGAAGTTACCATATCAGTAAGGTGAGCGGGTGACATCACCAGGGTCTAGAGATACTCAAAGGATAACAAAGGAATGTTATAAACAACTTTGTCAATAAATCCCACAATTCAGATGATATAAAAAATAAGCAGTGCCAATTCTAAAATATGATATGAGCCTAGCATTGCCCTGATACCAAAATCAGGAAAGGGTAGTGTAAGAAAACTACATTTTGCACTAACATCTCTAGTACAAAAGTCTAAACAAAATTTTGGCAAATATAATAAAACAATATGTAAAAATGCTAATACAATTGTACCAAGTGTATTGGTTTCATGACCATTTGTTCAGGATTCATTTAACATTTAAAAATCAGTTTATGTTATCTACTATGCAATGAGCCACAAAAGAAAACTTACATGTGAATTTAATAAAACCACAGAAGAAAATGTTTGACAAAATCTTATATTCATTTCTGATAGAAATGTTCAGCAAACTAGATATATAAGAAAATTTCCTCAACCTGATGAATGACATCTGTAGAAAACCCACAACTAACCCTATAATTAATAGTGACAGAGTTAATACTTTCCTCTTGAGATCAAGAACAAAGAGAGCACTATCAAACAAATCACCAATCAAAAACGGCTCATATGTCTGCTTCTATACTGAAGGTTGTAGGCAGTGAGATTAAGTAAGAAAAAATAAATTAAAGATACTCACATGGGAAGAAATAAAACTCCCTTTATTCACAGAAATGATCATCTATGTAGACTATTAATCGGCATGTAGAAAAAAGTACTACTAGAACTGACTATGATTTTAACAACGCAGGATGCAAGAGGAATACACGTAAATCAGATGTTTTCTATATATTAGCATTAAGTATTCAAAATTTGAAATTTAAAAAATATGTTACGATTGCATAAACTGTATGAAATACCTAGGGATGAATCTATGAAAAGATCTATAAGAACAGTACAGTGCAAACTACATAGCACTGTTAAGAGAGATTAAGTAGACCTAAATAAATGAAGAGACATGGTTTTTGAGTTGAAGGACTCGATATTATTAAGAGGTAAACTGTGCCCAAACTGACCTATAGAGTTAATGCAAATCCGATAAAATAAATCTCAGCAAGACATTTTGTTAGAAATTAATAAGCTGATGCTAAAATTAGTATGGAAATACAAAGGACTTGAGATTAACTAAAACAACTGAAATAAGAAAAACAAATGTGTAAGGCTAGCACTACACACTGAAAGAATCATTATAGGTACAATAATCAAACAAATAGGTCAAAGAATAGAGGAGAGTCCAAAAATAGGGCCATACAAATAAGTTTTGATGAAGATATTAAGAGCAAAATCTGAACTATAAGACATAATTTGCAGTGAAAACATTACGTCAAATCTGAAAATCATAAGACATAAAAATATTAAGAAACACAAAGGAATTCAAAATCTCATAATAAAACAAGATTCACAAAAGACAATTGTAAAATAACCTCATTGGAAATACCAGTGTTCAAATGGCTCTGCCATTAGCATGGCTTAGGCAGCCTGTGGTGTTATCAGGCTTACAGTCAGTGACCACATCTAATGAGCACTCCTCCGATTTTGTTCAGTTGCATTATTAGTCTGCACTAAAATTGACCATAACTCCTTGAGTAGTAATTGACATTAGGCAAATGGAGAAAAATCTAGTGCATTCAATTGCTTCTGGAAAACGATACTTTCAGAGATGTGCAGTTTCAGAGCAAACAGAAGAGAACAAGTTGGTGAGACTTCTCATTGAAAAGTAGTGAAAAATTGAATAGTAAAAATATTAATAATAATTATGGCTGGGCATGGTGGCTGACAACTGTAATCCCAGCCCTTCAGGAGGCCAAGGTGGGAGAATCATTTGAGCTCAGGAGTTCGAGACCAGTATGGGCAATGTAGTGAAAACTCATCTCTACAGAAAAGAAGAGAAGAGGAAGAGGAAGAATAAGGAGAAGGAAAATGAGAAGGAGGAAGAAAAAGAGAAAGAGGAAGAAGGAGGAGGAGGAGGAAAAACAAAAAAAAGAAAAATAATAATCATGGTAAATTGGAATAAGCTGAGCCTGCAATATGAACAGTGAGTGTCTGATGGTACTGAAAGATACAGGTAAGAAAGAGAACGAGAGATAAGCATACATATTTAAACTTCCAACACTTTTACAAAATTGCTATATAACAGTATATGTCAATACAAATCAAATTGTTTAAATCTTACATTCACATCTAGGTTTCTTAACAATAACCTATTTAAAATTGCTATTTAGAAATTTAGATCAATGTTTATCAACATGCTAAGTTGATAATGATTTTTTGGAATGAAAAAACAGTCTACACACAGCTTGTGAGGTATAATATCGTGTATTCAATTATTAATTGGGATAAATAAATATTTTTTGAAACATTCTGGTGGGGTGTATGTGTATATGTGTGAACTAAAAAGTTGATAGGGTTGTGGTGGTAGGATTTTTCTCTTTCTTTATATTAATTTACACTCTAAATCACAAAATCTTTTATATTATTAGAGATAAAAACAGGTAAGCTAAGTAAAATTAATTAACTAGTAAAAGAAAAAATGAGAAATCTTGCCAAGAATCGCTGGTTCTAAAAAAACTAAATCAGTCATTTAATTTTTTCATAGTAATTACAAGTTCCGTTTATGGTGTAAAAATAAAGCATAAAATAGTTATATCACATAATAGTACATTTTATAGTATAGTCAAAATGTAGTAAAATTGTCCCTAACTTTCAGTTTTATATCATGCATATTATTTGGAGTAACTGATCATCAGTCATCTCACAAAGTGATTTGTACTTCAAAAAACCAAAACAAAATCTTCTCTTCAAACAGATCGAGTTAGAGGTTAAAGCTCACCCTACCTTTCTGAAACTCTCTTTTCTGTTTCTGTGTCGTTGTTCTTCTATCCTCTCTTCTCTTTTAACATCTTCTGCCATCTTTGTCAGAAGTAACATCTCTTTTGCCTTCCATTCCTAGAAATCACAACGTTACTGCACTTGGCATGTGTTCCCTTCATAACAATATCCTTGTATTTTGTCCCACCAAAAAGTATATTAAAGAAGTCAGAGCCTAATAGAAATCAGGTTAAGCAAAACAGAAGTCATACATTGCATTTAGAATAGACTTTTCTTCTTCATTCTTATTAGGAATGTAGATATGATTATTTTTTACTAAAGCTAAATTAAAAAAAATTCCTCTCCACAATAAAGGCTTTAAGAGAGTTCAATAGTGTCTGGTAACTTTCTAACTGTTCTTTTAGAGTAGAAACTGGCTCATATACATACTTCCTGGTATCCACCTCACAATTTTATGTAACAACTTGTGTATTACAGCTATGAAGAACATTTAATGGAAACAAATTATTTTGAACTGAAATGACTTCAGGCAGTACAATGTACAGTTAAAATTATTTACAAGTGAAACAATGGTACACAATTTATCTCTTAATATTTTAAAGTTGTTATCTCTCACCTCTTCGATTTTTCTATGAAGAGCAAGTTTTCTTCTTGTGTGTTCCCGCTGTCGTCTTTTTTCTCTATCCATCAGGTATAGGCATTGTTCTTCTGCTGTGCGTTCAAGTTGTTCTAGTTTTCTACTTATCATATCCAAATATCTGAATAAGAGTGCAAATATTACTGAAGGTGAATTAGCTGTTTCGTTTATGATGGCATCACCTATTATGCCATTTCCAAACCACTTCCTTGCTTACCTTTCATTTCTCGAGCTACAGGAATTTTACTGTTTTTCTAACAGTCCTGTTTATAAACCTTTAAAACAGCCTTGAATGTCCACTGGATAAACAATGAAATGAAGGCAGAAATAAAGATATTCTTTGAAACCAAGGAGAATAAAGACACAATGTACCAGAATCTCTGGGATATATTTAAAGCAGTGTCTAAAGGAAAATTTATAGCAATAAATTCCCACATGAGAAGCAATGAAATATCTAAAATTGACACCCTATCATCAAAATTAAAAGAGCTAGAGGAGCAAGATCAAAAAAATTTAAAGCTAGCAGAAGACAGGGAATAATTAAGATCAGAGCAGAACTGAAGAAGACAGAGGCACAAAAAACCCTTCAAAAAATCAATATTTCTAGGTGCCTGTTTTTGAAAAGATCCATAAAATAGAAGACCACTAACTAGATTAATAAAAAAGAAAAGATAGAAGAATCAAATACACGCAATAAAAAACAATAAAGGGGATATCACCACCGATTCCACAGAAATACAAACTACTATCAGAGATTACTACAAATAACTCTATGCACATAAACCAGTGAACCTGAAAGAAATGGATAAATTCCTGGACACTTGCACACTCCCAAGCCTAAACCAGGAAGAAGTTGAAACCCTGAATAGACCAATAACAAGGGCTGAAGTTGAGGCAGCAATTAATAGCCTACCAACCAAAAAGAGTCTAGGTCTAGATGGATTCACAACCAAATTCCACCAGAAATACTAAGAGGAGCTGGTACCACTGGTTCTGAAACTATTCCAAACAATCCAAAAAGAGGGAATCCTTCCAAAATCGTTTTATGAGACCAACATCATCCTGATACCAAAACCCAGCAGAGACTCAACAAAAAAAGAAAACTTCAGCCAGTATCCATGAGGAATATCAATGCAAAAATCTTCAATAAAATACTGGAAAACCGATTGCAACAGCACATCAAAAAGCTTATCCCTCATGATCAAGTAGGCTTCATCCCAGGGATGCAAGGCTGGTTCAACATATGCAAGTCTATAAAGGTAACCCACTACATAAACAGAACCAAAGACAAAAACCATATGATTATCTCAATCGATCCAGAGAAGGCCTTCAACAAAATTCAACAGCACTTTATGCTAAAAACTCTCAATAAACTAGGTATTGATGGAATGTACCTCAAAATAATAAAAGCTATATATGACAAACCCATAGCCAATAACATACTGAATGGGCAAAAACTGGAAGCATTCCCTTTGAAATCTGGCACTAGACAAGGATGCCCTCCCTCAACACCACTCCTATTCAATATAGTATTGGAAATTATAGCCAGAGCAATCAGGCAAGAAAAAGAAATAAAGTGTATTCAATTAGGAAAGGAGGAAGTCAAATTGTCTCTATTTGCAGACAACATGATTGTATATTTAGAAGACCCCATCATCTCAGCCCAGAATCTCCTGAAACTGATAAGCAACTTCAGCAAAGTCTCAGGATACAAAATCAATGTACAAAAATCACAAGCATTTCTATACACCAATAACAGACTTAAAGAAAGCTAAATCAAGAGTGAACTGCCATTCGCAATTGCTACAAAGAGAATAAAATACCTAGGAATACAACTAACAAAGGATGTAAAGGCCCTCTTCAAGGAGAACTACAAACCACTGCTCAAGGAAATAAGAGAGGACACAAACAGATGGAAAACCATTCCATGCTCATGGTTAGGAAGAATCAATATTGTGAAAATGGCCATAGTGCCCAAAGTAATTTATAGATTCAACACTATCCCCATCAAGCTACTATGACCCTCTTCACAGAACTGGAAAGAAACCAACTTAAACTTCATGGAAGCAAGAGATCCCACATAGCCAAGTTGATTCTAAGCAAATAGAACAAAGCGGGAGGCATCACACTATCTGACTTCAAACTATACTACAAAGGCTACATTAATCAAAACAGCATAGTACTGGTACCAAAACAGAGATATAGACCAATGGAACAGATCAGAGGCCTCGGAGACAATGCCAGACATCTATAACTGTCTGATCTTTGACAAATCCGACAAAAACAATGGTAAAAGGATTCCCTGTTTAATAAATGGTGTTGGGAAAACTGGCTAGCTATGTGCAGAAAGCAGAAACTGGACCCATTCCTGACAACTTACACTAAAATTAACTCCAGATAGATTAAAGACTCAAACATAAGGCCTAATACCATAAAAACTCTAGAAGAAAACCAACGCAAAACCATTCAGGACATAGGCAAAAGCAAGGACTCCATGACTAAAACACCGAAAGCATTGGAAACAAAAGCCAAAATAGACAAATCGTGTCTAATTAAACTCCAGAGTTTCTGTGCAGCAAAAGAAACAATCATTAGAGTGAACTGGCAACCAACAGAATGGGAAAAAATTTTTGCAATCATTAAAAAATCTGGAGACAACAGATGCTGGAGAGGATGTGGAGAAATAGGAATACTTTTACGCTGTTGTTGAGAGTGTAAATTAGTTCAACCATTGTGGAAGACAGTGTGGCAATTCCTCAAGGACCTAGAAATAGAAATTCCATTTGACCCAGCAATCCCATTACTGCATATATAGCCAAAGGATTATAAATCATTCTATTGTAAAGACACATGCATATGTATGTTCACTGCAGTACTGTTTACAACAGCAAAGACCTGGTACCAACCCGAACGCCCATTGATGATAGACTGGACAAAGAAAATGTGGCACATATATATCATGGAATACTATGTAGTCATAAAAAACGATGAGCTCATGTCCTTTGTGGGGACATGGATGAATCTGGAAACCATCATTCTCAGCAAACTGACACAAGAACAGAAAATCAAACACCACATGTTCTCACTCATAGGTGGGTGTTGAACAATGAGAAGACATGGACACAGGGAAAGGAGCATCACAAACTGGGGTGTGTTGGGGGGACTGGGGAGGGACAGCAGGGGGTGGGGAGGTTAGGGAGGTATAACATGGGGAGAAATGCCAGATGCAGGTGACGGGGGATGGAAGCGCAAACCACATTGCTATGTAGGTAGCTATGCAACAATCCTGCATGTTCTGCACATGTACCCCAGAACCTAAAGTGCAATAAAAAATACACACACATATATATATGAAAGATTTATTGACTTCACAGAAAACCAGCCTAACCCACCAACTCAGCATGTTTTACTCATTATAAGGTCTTCCCAATACCCAGTTATCTGATATGATGGCAAAGATAATGGTAAAAAGTGGACCGAAGTTATTCAAAACATATTTCACGGTAAGCATTCATAAATCAGCAGGTTTAAGAAGATGTGCTTGCAAATATGGCTGAAATAGCTGAAACAGTAACTTCAAAAGTAGAAAAAGAAAATGAATTCTCTAAGTGGGCATTGGGTTCCTTATACTTTATAAGTCCTTTAACAAACCTCCCATCTGTAGTCTGCATCTCTGGTACATCAATATGCCATTACATGGCAACAATACCATGTAATGAAACCATGGAATGTATATAGAAGTCAGGTAATGTAGCCAAATTCCTTACTCCATCCCTAGGGCAGGAGAAAGAACTATAAAATCCTTACTTCCTAAGAAATGGGCTTGTTCATGAAATGGCCATGATTGACTATGACTGAGTCATATCTAAATGAGTTTATGCTCTTTTTTTATAGACAACACATATTTATATTGGTATCAGTGATGCCAAATCTGTTTTTGAATTTGCACTAACTTCTTCAAACAATGCTCTCAATCCTTAAAGATGAATCATAAAAAGCTGTTATTGTTTGAGGCATGTGCTAAAGATTCTTTCTCTCCCTATTCTACTATAGAAAAATTTTGGATCTAATTTTTCCTTCAATGATCAGTTTGCCTTATCCCTGGGGCTTTCAGCAACCCTAACTCCTCTGGTAGTAAATTCTTCCACCTCTTGGTTTTGCTTCCTTCTGTACTCTGAAAAATCCAGGAGAATGGTGTCTAGGTCTTACAATAAGTTGTTCAATTCTTTCTAGTATTTTCCAACTTATTTGGGTCCACAACATACACATAAAATATCCATCAAGTTTTATCTTACCTATGCCTCATTAACCGCTCCTGGTCCTTGACAGATTCAGTGCCCTCCTTTAACAACCAGTTCTGGACTTGGGCAACATCAGAATATTGAGGGATTTGATTGTTTTCTGGTACGTTATGTAGTTGTTTCGCAAGTATTTTCTATTTAAGAAATGTGTATATTACATATATATAATGTTTTTTACATTTCCCAGAAATAGAATCACATAAATTCCTACATTTTATGAATGCTTAATTCTGTTTAATTGCATTGACATCTATTTTGAATCCATTAAAGACGTAGACAAGTAAAACAAAATTAGGATTCATCTCTCTAAAAATAAAAGGTAAAATTTCCATTTATTTGTCAACATATTCTAAGTAAGTTAAATAAAAATATGCAGGAAGTAGAGAAGAAACACTGGGCACCGAAAGAAGTGGGGAAAATATAGAATACTTAGAAGTATACAAAGTCCTTCTCATTTTTATTCAGTCCTCTTATTTTTAGAACACACCTTTGCAAACACACATATACACACATCTTTGTCATTTTGATCCAAACCTCTTGACCCTAAAATCTGAACACACACACACACACTTTGAGTCAAAAATCAAAAGGACGTCACTCTCCATAACAGCTCACTACACCCAATCATTCCACTTCACATTTAAGAACAACATTTTTACTGGATGAATACAAGTGCACCTGTATGAGTTCAAACACAGAATGTACATGTTCTTGAATCACCATAGAACATTACAGGTATTTATTGTTATTTTCCTATGGCTCAAACTGTTTTAGGTTTTACTTAAGAATCTTTCTGCCACAAGAGATGTTTCTTATTGGCCTTAGCTCAGGGGGAAACAACACATCTGACTAATGATTTAATTACTAAATTATGCCAGCTACTACTATTGTGTTGATGGATGACCCAGTCCCTTTTCCATTCTTGGCCAAACATAGCAGCATCCAAATAATGTTTATTCCTACTCTAAATTTTCAATTGAAAAAATATGCAATTACTTTATTAATAATTAAGGGTCAAATATGATTTAAAAAACACTCTAAGTAAGGATTTCTTCCAAACTCTATGTAAACAAACCAAATTTAAGTGTTTAACTCACTTGTTCTCTTATATAGTTTCTTTCAAAGTCTAATTTTAAACTGGTAAGGTATTGCCTGTACTTATTTTTTTTAATAGACATTTTTTTCTTTATTGAGAAACGTAAGACTTGGGTACATCAAATAAAACCAATTTCTGGGGGGAAAATCAAAACCCACAATAGAAAAAAAAAGTTAACACTGTCTGGGCCACAGCAGAACCCAGAGAATATATTTGTATAATTGAAAAATTCTAGGTGCTTCATAATTGACCTTTTGATACAAAATGACCTGTTAAATTTGCAATTTGTAGTTCTTGGTGTTGAGGTCCATAGGACAAGCTAGGAAGTCTTCAAACCTTGAGCTGAATTCCATGAGGGGTTATTTGGCTTTTGAATCGGGTTTTCCTTGTCTAAGAGGTAGCAGCAGCAACAGCGCCCACCTTCTGGGCAGCTTCTTTCTTGGCATGATGAGCCTGTAGAACTGCTACAGCTTCATCCACCTTGGAGCGGAGAGACTCAGGGGACTCTAACATGTGCAGCAGCTCAGAGTTGTCAATCTCCAGCAGCCTTCCTGTGATTTTTCCAGCCAGGTTTGAATGCATTGTTTGGATGAGTGGGAATAAACGTTCTCCCAGCATCTGCTTCTGTTCCTGGGAGGGTGCTGCAGCCAGCATGGAGGCAGTCAGTGGCTCCTGCCCCTGCACATGGACGGCAGGCTGCGGTGCCTGAAGAGGCTGTATGGCAGGATGAGGGCTGCGGACACTGGAGGCATATTTGTAGGGGGCAACAGCCCAGGGAGTAGCAGCAGCAACAGCAGCGCGTGGCGCTAAGTTCTGCACAGCTGTGGGAACGCCTCCAGACTGGCAGCTGTCAGTCAGCCCTTGCTGGGTGGCACTAGCCCCACCAAAGTCCATAGTCAAGTGGTCCGGGCACTCAGACCCAGTTGGAGCCAGATGGCGAAGAATTGGACAAGGCCCAGACTGGCATATAGCACTTGGCATTCCTTGACAGCCTTGAGGTCTCCCACCTTGCTGCCAGCGTGGATTAGGCCTCATCTGTGCTAACTGGTTAGGTGTATAATATGGAGGCCTTCCCTGAACCTGTGGGACTGCTGGCACGAAGTAGCCACCCACTGCTGGCTGGAACTGATTTAAGATGGCATTGGCAGGAAGTGCTCTCATTCCAGCCACTCGTTGCATATACTGGTTGGTCAGGTGAGCCTTTCTCTCTTCCTTCCTCTGGGCCAGGGCAACATACAGGGGCTTGGAACCCACAATGCATCCATTCATCTCAGTGACTGCTTTGGTTGCCTCTTCAGGAGACGAGAAGCAGATGAAGTCAAACCCTTTGCTTCTTCCATCTTCCAACATTACCTTAGCACTGGTAATTGATCCAAAAGGAGAAAACTCTTTCCTTAATTTCTCATCATCAATAGTATCATCCAAGTTCTTAATGTAGAGATTCACCCCCTGGTATCGACTAATTCTTTCCTGTTTCAACTGCTCAAATTTCCATTTTAACTCTGCCTGCCGTTCTACTTTCTTTTGTGCATGGCCTACCAATATGATTTTCCCACTTATTTCTTTTCCATTCATCTCTTCCACAGCCTTATTGGCATCCTCGTGTTTTTCGTAACTCACAAAGCCAAAGCCTTTGGATTTCCCGTTGGGATCTCTCATCACCTTGACACTCAGGGTCTTACCAAACTGAATGAATAGCTCTTTCAGACTCTGATCATCCACCTCTTCCCCGAAGTTTTTGATATAAACATTGGTGAATTCCTTGGCTTTGGCTCCAAGCTCGGCTTCCCGCTCTTTGCGAGACTTGAATCTGCCCACAAATACTTTGCGGTCATTGAGGAGCATGCCATTCATCTTCTCGATGGCCTTGTCGGCAGCCTCTTGGGTCTCGAAGTGGACAAAGGCATAACCCTTCGAGCCGTTCTCATCACGTACCACCTTGCAGGATAGAATGTTTCCAAAAGCAGAAAAAGTATCATAAAGTGCCTTGTTATCTATAGATTTGTCCAGGTTCTTAATGAAGACGTTTCCCACACCAGATTTTCTCAAAGAGGGATCCCGCTGAGACCACATGATGCGGATTGGCTTTCCCTTAATCACATCAAAGTTCATGGTGTCCAAAGCCCGCTCAGCATCGGCCGGCTGCTGGAAGTTGACGTAGGCAGCGGCGGGTGATCATATCGCGGCAGACCCGGATGGACAGCACAGGCCCCGTGGGGCTGAACTTTTCGTACAGCATGGCCTCGGTGACGTCCGAGTGCAGGTCGCCCATGTACAGGGAGGCCATGGGGTAGCTGCTGGCCGCAGCGTTCATCTCCCCGCCCCCCACCACCCCGAGCCCCGCCAGGAGGACTTCTTATCGGGCCCGCCCAGGACAAAAGGGGCGCCCTTGGAGCCGGGGCCTGCACCGCGGCTCACAGGTGGCACCGGCAAGGATGAGCTGGAGTCGCCGGGCTCGGAGACTGGACGAAAATGGGAGGCGGGGGCCGGCTCCCACGACCGGGGCACCACAGACAAAAGGCTCTCCGCACAATACAGCTCTCCCCGCGACTTTGCACTTCTCCGCGGTCCTGGTGCGAAGCTCCAAATTTCAAAAAATCTAAGTAGGAAAAAAAAATTAAATGGAGAATCCCCTTCCGAAGGGTAAAGATCCTTTAAGAGGCGACCAGACGCTGCCCACTGCGGCCTCGGGGACACGCGTTTCTCTATAAATATAGGCCTCGGGCTCCGGCGGTTTAAGATGACAACCGCAGGGGCAGGGGGAAACCAAATCTTTGTGGGCGCGGACTCCGTGAGCCCTGGGCAGGCGGCGAAGGGCAGCGCGGACACGTGGTGCGCGGGACTGGCGCGGGGCTCCCGCGGGCGGAGGGGGCGGAGGGCACGGCGGGCCGGGTGGGCGGCTCACCCCGGTACCTACGGAGACCGACGGACGCCAAGCGCGGCGGCAACTGGCGCGGGGCAGGCAGGAAGCGTGCGAAAGTGACTTCCCCGCGGGTTCTCCGAGGAGGACTCGCTTTTTCCTTCCCCCCACCTTTTTAAGGATTTTGAAGCGTTTTCAGAGTTTTTTTTTTTTTTTTTTTTTTTTGAGATGGAGTTTCGCGCTTGTTACCCAGGCTGGAGTGCAATGGCGCTATCTCGGCTCACGGCAACCTCCGCCTCCTGGGTTCAGGCAATTCTCCTGCCTCAGCCACCTGAGTAGCTGGGATTACAGGCACGCGCCACCATGCCCAGCTAATTTTTTGTATATTTTTTAGTAGAGACGGGGTTTCACCATGTTGACCAGGATGGTCTCGATCTTTTGATCTTGTGATCCACCCGCCTCGGCCTCCCAAAGTGCTGGGATTACAGGCTTGAGCCACCGCGCCCGGCCGCGTTTTCGGATTTTTTTTATTTTTTATTTTTTTATCTTTTTCTCTTTTTTTCCTCAGGCTGCAGAGCCCGAAAACGACCGAGACGGCAGCGACCCGGGGCGGAGAGCTGCCTGTACTTATTAAATTCTCTCAAAGTACATACAACCTACAAACAAAATGTAAACGCATCAATATTTAAAAAATATTAAATATATTAACATTATATAAATATTTTAAATATATATTTTTTAATTATTTTAATGATTTAAAAATCACTTTCAAAAAAATAGCAGTGACCTACAATTTAATGACATTTTGGCCTAAAGAGTAATAAACTGCTAACAATGTTGTAGAGTAGTATCTCTCTGCATTTGTTAATCAGCAAGAAATTTCTATCCAAAAATATAACTTAGGCTGAGGCAAGAGGATTTCTTGAGGCCAGGAGTTTGAGATAAGCCTGGACAACATAGCAAGACCCCATCTCTTAAAAAAAAAAAAACCAGCGGGGAGGGTATGTGCCTGTGCCAGCTGCTTAGGAGGCTGAGGCAGGAACACAGCTTGAGCCCAGGAGGTCAAAGCTGCCATGAACCATGATTACGCCATTGCACTCCTGTGTAGGTAACAAAGTGAGAACCTGTCTCTAAAAACTTGTCTCTAAAGTATACATATCACTTTATTAATATGACTAATATCATAAAAGAAGTTTAGTCAACACATTTAGAGTTATCACAGTAATAATTGAAATTAGCTGAAATTGGATTATAATTTTGCATGTAATAACATTGTAAGACTTCAATTAGAAAGTACTCTATCAAGGTTCTAACAGACTGAAATTTGTAGGTTTCTATTTCATATCAAGTTTTAAAAGTATGTGGAACAGAATCCTTGACAATTATATGTTGTATAATTATATAATTACATACACTGTATAATGCCATTAAAGACAAAGAAGGCTATAATACACATGGGAAAATTAATATGTCTTTGTATTCTCAAATTGTCAATAATTTTTCATATTACAAAGAAAAAAGGTGAAGGAAGGGTAGTCTTATTTTGCAACAACTGTTGTCTGATTTCTCTTGATCCAAATACTGAGAAATTTATAGAACTGCCTATTAAGTATTGTCTCCTGACCAGGTTCAAAGTGAGACAGCCCCCCCCCCCCCCGCCCCGGTGAGGCATAGAAACAAGTTTATATCAAGTTTTAAAGGGTTTCATTGATTAAAAAAAGAAGTAATCTTCAACCCACTTTATTATTGCTGGTGACATAGCCACCTTTCTTTAATCTTTTCAGAATATCTTTGCTCTTATAGTATGTTTTTAAATGTGGATCATGGAGGCTGTTATATTGGTTTTCCAAAAGTTGACAATAAGGATCAGTCACGTTAAAACCATAAGAAGGTCGAAAAAGCTGCAAACACAGAGTCAAAAATATGTAAAATTAATGCATTTTTACTTTAAAAAATCTATCACAATAATTAGAATGTTCATTAAAAATAATGTGGAACAAAAATCTGAAGTGGAGAAAAACAGCTACAGAAAAATTGAGGTTGGGTGTGCTTTCCTGCCTTTCCCTCCTCTTTCCTCACCTGCATAAGTTATCCCAAAGACTCACCTTCCCTCAATCAGTTTCTCCTCTAATCATCTCCAGACCCTGGCTCTCAGTCAAATAAGAAAAAAGAAGAGGAAAAGAAAGGGAATAGATTATAGTTTGTATTAAGGTATAAAGCCAATGCTAGAATTCTTTATTTTCCTCCTCCCACTCTCAAATCAGAACATTATATTCAAAAGATAAAGGGATAATAGTAATTATAATTTGATTTCAATCATCTTAAAATGAACAAAAATAATAGAAAATATTCATCAAAATTTACGAAAATAACTTTAACAAATGGTAAAAGTAAAAGTTGGATATTAAAGATTTTGAGTTAAAGAGTCATTGCATCTTGGGGTTTTTAATGCATGAAATGAACAGTCTCTGAGTGCTAGAATAAGACAAATACCTGAGGTCTATATTATGCAGTTCAACATATTGAAGAACTAATTTTTAAAACTGAAGTTTATTCATTTGTGTGAAGACCAAATACACCTTTAGGCAATAGCCATTGAAATATATAAGGAGGAAAAGATAATCAGTTATTAGTTATGTTTCTATATCTGCTGCATTAGAGAAAGAAGCTGAGTTATTCAATCTCACCACAAATTAAAACATTAGCAAAGTGAGTTTTTTTGGTGTGAGTTCTCAGTTTTTCAATAGCAGGATGCTGATAATGGCTTATTGGGGGACTTCTGAAATGGAAAAAGTAGAGAATGAGAGTAGGAAGCTGTGCTAATGTTGTTTTTTACATCCTTTCTTTCTGTTTTAAGTTTGCTGGGCCAGAACAACATATGTTTTATAATACTTCAAAATAATGTCAAATCAGGAAATGACTCAGGTGACAGATAATTGGAGTATGTTGGTAATATGGCAAACCAGAGAGCATCTGCCCTTGCAGGTACAAAGTTCAATTTATACTACCACAGCAACACTAAGCACCAATCCAGACATGTGTAGAGGCACCGATTTGTGACCTCTGTTTTCAGTTTGGCTGTAGCCACAGTTGCAGTCCAGATCCTAAACACTATGGAGCCTGGCTAGGTTGGACCCTTAAAAGAACTCCAGAAAGATAGGTAGGAGGATGCTTTGTATATGAGTAAAAGGTAGATGAGAGGAACGTTAATAGGATACTAGCTCTTCCTTTGCATTTAAAAGCTTCTTTAAGTTTCTGACCTCTTGTGTAACACTAAACTTTAATCCCTGCCAAGGAGCCTAACCAGAAAGCTAGATTCCCTGATTACCAATGCTTTCCTGAGAAGGTAAAGAAAGGACTCCCATAGGAGAAAGCCTTGAATTCAGTGAGTTCACAAATGAAGCCCAGATCTTTTCTGGAAGGGAAATAATAACAGTAAGTCAAGGAGTGTACTGAATATTTATTTCAGATATTGACATTTAGCTGTAAACTTTTTAAAAATGTTAACTTTTAGCCGTGACAGGCATATGTGTCTCAATACCAAACCTGAAGTGCTACTGACCTGTAAACTAAGAACACCTTTAAACAGATCCACCCATCTGAGCCAGAGTAACCTTTCTATTGCCAATTAATATATCTGGTTTCCCTTAAAATGTAAATATAAAGCGTGACTTCATGAAGAAGGGTACTCTGAAAGAGAAAAGTCTTCAGAAAAACTAGTATGGTGCCTAATTATCATGAAACAAATTTGGGGATAAATAATGTATTAAAAATAGAACATCTTTTTGAAAAGTAGTAGACAAGTGACTTAATGGTAGACAGAGAAGATGGTAATAGAGTAAAAAGAATATATTTGAGGGAGGAGACCAAAGACGGAGATCTAAGTTTATACACTAAAGAGGAGTTATATCTCCTATAATGGAATAAGTTTCAAGCATGTTTTTGCAAAGTTTGTGTGGATGTGACTCAAATTGTTTGAAGATGATGTATTTGTAGTTCACTTGCTCTAATGTAATAGAACAGATCAGTTTTTTAAAAGGGCAATTACACTTTTTCCAGAAAGAAAACTTGCTTTAAGAAATCATGTTTATTTAGTATATTAGATTGACTGTATGCCCCTAAAATTCATATGCAATCTGAACCTTCAATGTGATGCCATTAGGAGCTGGGGCCTTGGGGGATAATTAAGTCATGATGGCGGAGTCCTCATCAAGAGGGTAATGTTCCTATAAAGACCACAGGGAATGCTCTAGCCTTCTTTCTACCATGCTGGGAGGTAATGAAAAGATTGCAAAGGGCCCTCACCAGAATCTGACCATGCTGGTGTCCTGGTCTTGGACTTCCAGCTCCAGAACAATGATAAATATGTTTATGTTATTTCTAAGCCACCAATCTATGGTACATTGTTATAACAGCCTGAACTGTATAAGGCATTAGGCAAGTATCAAATACCAAGGGGTTCTACTCATTTCTGATGACATCATAGACATTAGAAGGGTAAGTGGGTCACTTAGAATTATATCTTGTATAACTTTCTGCAAAATTGATAAAAGCAACCAGTCAATAAGAATGTACTAAACCTCCGTCAACATCGACTACTTAGTCAAAGGCTGAGGAGGTATGGGGGTAGGTTTGGTGTTGAGGACTAAAACATGAAAAGGCTTAAGGGACGTACACACTATAATCCAGTACAATTAAGCCTGGTTTGTATAAGAGATCGTACGAATCCAGGTCAACGTGAATCCTAAGCAAAGATCAATTAATTGGGCCGGGGGCGAGTGGCTGTAACAGTTCAGGGTTTCTTAAAAGATATCTCAGATTCATAGACTGGGGAGAAGAAGACAGAGTATGCCAGGTTTGGGGGCAAAGTTGACAAAATACAGAAGTATTAGCCTCGTATTCATGGGTAGGTGTAAAAGACATCACTTAAAGAACTGAGCCTCTGGTTGGAGACAATACTGGATGAAAAGGCTGGGGCACATTATGGAGTCTCTTCCTCATTGAGGCAGGCCTTTCTTTCATTGAAATGAGGTTAAAGTACTAACAGACTAACTCATTTTAACTCCCACTGTTTTAGTTCTTTTTTTTTTTTTAATTTATTTGTTTAAAACAGTATTCAACTCAAAACAAAATAATGTGTCCTGTGAAGAGAGTTTGGTCCAAGATGGTCAGTTAAAGTAATACACATAATTAAATGGCAGCAAGCACTAATAGCCTTTCACCTCCCAAACATGTTTCTAGGTACATCAAAACTTACTATGTAAGTATATATGAAGTTTTATTATAAGGAATATTAATATGGTACCATGAATTGTAAATTAAGGACTAAGAATTTAAACTTTCTGGCCTATGATTATGTCCAAACCATATTAGATGAAAATGCTTCATATGCATTCTAAACAATACCTTCGGTCAGATTTTTTTTTTTTCCTGTGACTATTGATGCAAATTCCTTGAATGGATGTTGTATGATGCAGCCTCTGAATTGAACAGAAAGTAGTAAAGGCTAAAGGAAAGAAACGATAAAAACTCGTTCACCTTTTCACCGACATTCGTAGTATAGTATACAGCATTGCTTCCGGGGATCACAGGCAGCTTGACCCCGAGAGGTCGATCCAGTAGTCGAGCCGCTCCAACAGAGTGGGTTTTGTGCACGCCCTGTCAGACACAATTGGAGAGTTTTGTTATTTCCTCTTAGGCAGTATTCCTCTCGTTTAGACCAATCTACTTCCACTCCAACCAAAGACACCGAAGAATCACACAGTCAGGCAGGGTTCAAGGCCTCCTGAAGTCCTCCCGCTTCCCGGGTCACCAGCTCCCCTGGCGTCCCGCGCCTACCAGTTGAGGCGGGTACAGTCCGAGTCACCGCCACCGCCCCCGGGCGCCCCAAGAGGGCGGCCTCCTGAAGCGGGACAGTTGGGAGCCTCGCGACCCTTGCGTGAGTGGCAATCCCTGCCCCGCTCCCCACCATACCTGCGGCCGCCAGAGAAAGACGCCGCCCGGCTTGAGGCCACTCAGGTCTCCGCACTGCTCTGTGTCCGTGGCCAGGACGCTGGCGACCGTCTTGGTGACGGCGACATGGTCAGGCTTGGAGCAGCGCCGAGGTACAGCTCCATGGTCGGCACGGGCCCCTCCGCTCTCCTTCCCTTGCATGTGGTTGCCCCTCTGTCTGGACTCGACCAGGAAAGGCCAGGGCCTCACGACCACAGCCTCTACCCCCAGCGTTCCAGAATCCTAACAGCAGCGGCCCCAGAAAGGCGGTGGCCTCCTGAGGGGGAGGGGCGTGGCTCACGCTGGGCCCGAGAGCTCCCGCAGAGTTGGAGAAATCGGTCCTAGAGGCCTGATCTGAGAGGACCACAGTGGAAACTTCTTCCCTCTCTGAAACCATCACCCCTCAGCCAATCCTAACGGAAACGTATAAGCTATTTTGGTCGGTAGCTGGCTAATTTCTCCTGGCCTCCAAGGAGCCCTGTTCCGTTCTATAAAATTTCCCGAGTGATTGTTTTTGCCCATTCTACATCTTCCCGCATAGAGACCACACCCCGTGCCCAGGCTCCCACAACTTCTTCCCACACCAGGTCCACAAGGCAGAGGGGTTGGCTTCCTAAGGGGCTCATTGTCTTCCTCCTGCCTCCTCTGTCCCCTAGGCTTCCTTCTCCTTTCTAGCGCTCTTTACCGCTCTCCCACTGCCTCCTCTCTGCTCCTGCTGCTCGATCCTATTTCCCTCTGTCTCCCTAACCCTCCAGCTGAAATGCATAAAGTGCTTGACCCTTTTGGGCCAGTCATTGAGCTAGGCACTGGATAGGACACAGCCGTGAGTGAAATATGGCCCCAGCCTGTAAGAAGCGAACTAGAGCCACTTGGTGTTTAGACTAACTTCATATATTCTTTCTATGAATGCTTGGTCCTAGAGGCCTGATCTGAGAGGACCACAGTTGAAATTTCATCTTTATTTCTGGCCCGACTAGTAATAACACTATTTCTTGAGAATGTACTAACCTCCAGATACTATGCTTAACACCCTTTAAATATTTATTTATTGTAATAGTCTTATCACTGATTACCCTTGATTTTTCAAAGATTGAGGAAGAATAACGATTGCTATTAAATGGTGGTTCTTGCGGCTGTTTTCTTAATCAGTACACTCAGCTCTGTTTTAATTCCACACATGTGCTTAGTACTCTTAAATTTGAAATTTGAAAGCTTGGGATATAATCTATTCCCAGCTTCCATATGGATGTCCCACAATCTACTCAAATTCAATCTACTGAAATCTCAACACACACACACCCTTCATCAAAACAGGAAAAAACAAAGGCTTCTTCTTGCATTTCCCGTCTCATTGACAATACCACCATGTACCCAAGCCAGAAACTGAGGAATGCTTCTAGATACTTCTTTTTCCTCTTATCTCCCATGTTCTGTTGGTCCCTAAGTACCAGTAATTTTATCACTAAAATTAATTGGTCCCATTCTACCTGTTCCTGCTCTACTCCCCTGGTTAAGCAGCTAATCATATTTTGCTTGTGTGCACCATTGCCACAGGCTTATAACATCTCCCCGCCATCATCTACCCTAACGATCCATCTTTTATCTATTTGACCTTGGGTGGCAAACTGACCATGTTTTTTCTTCCTCATTTTAAACTCCCAACTGCCCTCAGTGCAAAGTGTGTAATAGCCTGTTACTTGATTTCTGAATCAGTTTCTTATTGATAACAAATTATCACAAATGTAGTGACTTACCATAAATTACCACAAAGCTATTATCTTAACAGTGATGGAGGTTAGTAGTCCAAATAGAATCTCACTGAGCTGAAACCAGTGTATGGGAAGTGCTTTGTTCTGTCTGTAAGCTCTGGGTCACAACCTATGTTCTTCCCCTTTCCAGTTTATAACAGTTCCCTCTTCCTCACCCTTTAAATCTAGCAATGTAGCATCTTCAAATCTCTCTGACTCAGGCCTCTGCCTCCTTCCCTTCTACAATTAAAGAATCTTTGTGATTACATTGGGTCGATCTGGGTTATCCAAGCTAATTTATCTATCTTAAGATCAGCTGATTAGCAACCTTAATTCCATCAGCAATCTTAATTCCTCCTTGATATGAAATATTCACATACGAGTCTTGGAAACGAGGACATAGATGTCTTTGGGATACTATTATCCTACTTCTCACAGCCCCTTTTTCTGTTTCTGAGACATAACTCCCCAATACCACCTTTCAGAATTGAACCTCAAATGACACATAACTGTTTGTGGTTAGCTCTCTACATAGGGCTGCTCATTCATGCATGATTCTGTGTCTTTGTTTATGCCGTCCCTTCTGCCTGACAGGCCCTTGCACTTCACTGCTTGGCTGATTTTAATCAGCCTTTAAAACAACTCAAGTGTTAGAAGCTTTTGACAAATTCTCTCCCTCTGTGCTTCCCTCCATCTTAACATTATCACATTACAGTAAGAATATCTGTTTACTTGTCAGTCTCTCTCTACTAGAATGTAAATTCCTTTAGTGCAAGTGTTGGCTTGTATGCACAGCACCTAACATAGTGCTGAGCAAACACTTAGTGAGTGCTAAGTTAAATTTTGTTTCCTGACCCAGTCAGACATGAATGAGGACCCACTGAAAAATTTTAAGCAAATTCTTACTCTAGAAGAAGACTCTGGCAACAATTTGGAAGGCAGATTTGTGGGGATGAAAGTAAAGGTCTGGGAGACTTCATGATTTTTAGACATGCAGAGAGTGGATTTGAGAAACGTTAAAGAAAACTTTCAAACCTTTGAGCTCTTCCTCATCTTGCCTACTTTTAAAAGAACAGAGTTGGAAGGAATCATTGCTGTGAGAACCTGACAATGGTGGATGACAAGCTTGAATTTCCAGAGAAAACAGGTAAGCCAGAAAAATGAATTCTTAAAAAAGAAAAAGAAAGAAAAATCCACATCAAATAGGTGAGTTCTATTTATAAAGAAAGCAAATGGAAAAGAAAAAGTCTATGGTGTAGATAACATATCTATGATATTTATATGTAAAGCAGAATTTGTTATATTCTTGGAAAAGTTAGAAGAATATGTGTCTGAGGTTTTATGAACCTTGGGGTCTTTTCAGAGACTTTACTGTCTTTGTCTACATAATCATTTCCCAAATTTAGTGACTTTAAACAATTATTTGTTATTTCTCACAGTTCTCTGGGTTCCCTGGTGTTGTTTAGGTTTGCTCTTGCTTAAGTAGGGCTGGGTCATCTAGGATGGCCTCACTCACATCTGGGCTCTCAGAACAACAACAAAACCAGTGGAATGATTGAGATGCAGGACCACCGTCTACATGTGTTCATTCTCCAGAAGATTAGGCAATATGGTTTTACATTTTAGTCTCAAGACTCCCAGCATCAAGAGGGAGTAAATATTAATGTGCTTATGTGCTTCTCAAGTATTCAGTAGCATAACATTTGCTATTGTCTAACGTGGAAGGAAACTACATAAGGGTATGTATACACTAAGGCTCCCATCCATAGGGCTCATTGCCTCAAAAATCTACCAAAGATCACTTTCTGATTCCAATGATTTACAACGCTCCTATATTGAAAACACACTTACCTCTCCTAAGAGAACCAAAAGCCTCATTCAGTAATGTGATTAGGCTTAAAATGTGGTGTTTTGTAATCTGCCATTATGTCCATGGACAGCTATTTGGATACTGCCTGTACGAATTCAAAGACCTATGAACTAAAAAACAAGTTGGGTTAATAATCTATAGATGAAAAATCAATTTCTCCAGAACTTTAGGATTAAAACAACATTAATTGCTTATTGTATCTAGTGGTTTCTCATTGGGTTTGGAGATTCAGTTGAGGCACAAAGGAGATAGTTGGTCTCTGTTCTATGATATTTGGAACTTCAGCTGGCCAACTTGAAGACTAATAGCTGGAATCAGTGCCTTCTAAATTTATTAGCAGAAGATTTGCTCCTTTGGGGTCTTTTGAGATCTGTTAGAGAAGACCAGAAGAGACCTCAGTATAGGATTAATTACTGCTTTATTCTGCACACCCAATGACTCATCTATCAGAAGTTTTCCCAGCTTATCTGGTGGGAACATGTAATGTTTTCAGTTGTTTGTGAAAGCTCAGCACTATCCCTTTTGAGTGATTTTTTCCATGGCATATGGTAGTTTTCTCAGAGTTCTGACAAATAGGCAGGAAACACTCAAAGATAATTCTCTGCACATCTCGAGAGTTCTTAAGTTCATGTTCTATGCAGCTCTCCCCTCTCTACTTTTCTTTCCCATACTCTAGCCACATCTGCCTTTCTGGGCTCTGAGTTCTGTTTCCTGAACTCAGGGAGGCAGATGAGCTCCATCTGGATCCTCCCTCCCTATGCCATGGTTTGAAAGTTCTTTCAAGTTTTATCAGTCTGCCTCACCTGTTTTGTTTATTGTTTTACAGAGATCATCTATTCTTCCGACTGTCTTGAAAATTTTTGCTTCATATACTTTGTTTGATTTTTACATTTTCAGGGCATATCTTCTCCCTGTTATCTTGTCTTGAGAGGAAATAAAACTCAGTTTTACTTGTGATAATCCTTGTAGCGTTTTAAATTCTTTAGCTAATAATCACTTTATTTGGAGAAAATTCCACATATATAAATGTTGATAGGTGTTCAGTCTCATTTGTTACCGTATTTTCATTTGTCACACCATGTAACAAGGTCATGGGCATGTGACTTTGTATTCTGAAAAGGAATTAATTCAACGTTTCTTGTACAGTTAAGGACCATGAAGTCAGGCTTAATGTCTGGTCACAGCACAAGCAACAACATTTTTTTTAAATTTTTTATTGGATTATAGGTTTTGGGGTACATGAGCAGAGCATGCAAGACAGTTGCGTAGGTACACACATGGCAGTGTGCTTTGCTTTTCTTCTCCCCTTCACCCACATTTGGCATTTTTCCCCAGGCTATCCCTCCCCACCTCCCCCTCCCACTGGCCCTCCCCTTTTCCCCCCAATAGACCCCAGTGTTTAGTACTCCCCTTTCTGTGTCCATGTGTTCTCATTTTTCATCACCCACCTATGAGTGAGAATATGCGGTGTTTCATTTTCTGTTCTTGTGTCAGTTAAGCAACAACATTTTAATCCAACTACATCTGTGGCTTGATACTGTGTGTCTCCTCTCCTTGTTTCTGTTCCATTTTCCTTAAATTGGATAGCAAACCTTCTTATATATTCTCTGAGCTTTCCCAAATCTTTTGTCTAGGTTAGCCAGGATTGTTTCCTATTATTTATAACCCAAATCCCTGGCTTATATATAATAACCACTTTACTCCCAGCTTTGCTTTGTTTTTGTTTATTATTTATTTTTTTTTTTTTAATTTTTTATTGGATTTTAGGTTTTGGGGTACATGAGCAGAACATGCAAGACAGTTGCGTAGGAACACACATGGCAGTGTGCTTTTCTTTCCTTCTCCCCTTCACCCACATTTGGCATTTCTCCCCAGGCTATCCCTCCCCACCTCCCCCTCCCACTGGCCCTCCCCTTTTCCCCCCAGTAGACCCCAGTGTTTAGTACTCCCCTTTCTGTGTCCATGTGTTCTCATTTTTCATCACCCGCCTATGAGTGAGAATATGCGATGTTTCATTTTCTGTTCTTGTGTCAGTTTGCTGAGGATGACGTTCTCCAGATTCATCCATGTCCCTACAAATGACACAAACTCATCATTTCTGATTGCTGCATAATATTCCATGGTGTATATGTGCCACATTTTTCCAATCCAGTCTATTATCAATGGGCATTTGGGTTGATTCCAGGTCTTTGCTATTGTAAACAGTGCTGCAATGAACATTCGTGTACATGTGTCCTTATAGTAGAACAATTTATAGTCTTTTGGATATATACCCAGTAATGGGATTGCTGGGTCAAATGGAATTTCTATTTCTAAGGCCTTGAGGAATCGCCACACTGTCTTCCACAATGGTTGAACTAATTTACACTCCCACCAACAGTGTAAAAGTGTTCCTTTTGCTCCACATCCTCTCCAGCATCTGTTGTCTCCAGATTTTTTAATGATCACCATTCTAACTGGCGTGAGATGGTATCTCAATGTGGTTTTGATTTGCATCTCTCTGATGACCAGTGACGATGAGCATTTTTTCATATGATTGTTGGCCTCATATATGTCTTCTTTCGTAAAGTGTCTGTTCATATCATTTGCCCACTTTTGAATGGGCTTGTTTGTTTTTTTCCTGTAAATCTGTTTGAGTTCTTTGTAAATTCTGGATATCAGCCCTTTGTCAGATGGGTAAACTGCAAAAATTTTTTCCCATTCTGTTGGTTGCCGATCCATTCTAGTGACTGTTTCTTTTGCCGTGCAGAAGCTGTGGAGTTTCATTAGGTCCCATTTGTCTATTTTGGCTTTTGTTGCCAATGCTTTTGGTGTTTTGTTCATAAAGTCCTTGCCTACTCCTATGTCCTGGATAGTTTTGCCTAGATTTCCTTCTAGGGTTTTTATGGTGCCAGGTCTTATGTTTAAGTCTTGAATCCATCTGGAGTTAATTTTAGTGTAAGGTGTCAGGAAGGGGTCCAGTTTCTGCTTTCTGCACATGGCTAGCCAGTTTTCCCAACTCCATTTGTTAAACAGGGAATCCTTTCCCCCTTGCTTGTTTTTGTCAGGTTTATCAAAGATTGTATAGTTGTAGATATGTTGTGTTGCCTCCGGTGCCTCTGTTTTGTTCCATTGGTCTATATCTCTGTTTTGGTACCAGTACCATGCTGTTTTGATTACTGTAGCCTTGTAGTAAGGGTATTCAAATAGGAAAGGAGGAAGCCAAATTGTCTCTATTTGCAGACGACATGATAGTATACCTAGAAGACCCCATCACCTCAGCCCAAAAACTCCTGAAACTGATAAGCAACTTCAGCAAAGTCTCAGGATATAAAATCAATGTGCAAAAATCACAAGCATTCATCTACACCAATAACAGACTTAAAGAAAGCCAAATCAAGAACAAACTGCCATTCGCAATTGCTACAAAAAGAATAAAATACCTTGGAATACAACTCACAAGGAACGTAAGGGACCTCTTCAAGGAGAACTACAAACCACTGCTCAACGAAATCAGAGAGGACACAAACAGATGGAGAAACATTCCATGTTCATGGTTAGGAAGAATTAACATCGTGAAAATGGCTATACTGCCCAAAGTAATTTACAGAATCAACGCTAAACCCATCAAGCTACCATTGACTTTCTTCACAGAACTGGAAAAAACCACCATGAACTTCATATGGAACCAAAAGAGAGCCCGCATAGCCAAGTCAATTCTAAGCAAAAAGAACACAGCGGGGGGCATCACACTACCGGATTTCAAACTATACTACAAGGCTACAGTAATGTTTATTATTTCTTAATGTAACTATATAAGCCGAAGATTTAAATGTTTGAGTTTTACTACCTCCTATGTCTATTCTCAATATTTTATTGAGAAATAAAATATAAGATCTTTAGGATCCTGTGTTGGTCAAGATTTTCAATAAAAACAGAACCAGCAAGGGATGTGTGTGTGTGTGTGTGTGTGTGTGTGTGTGTGTGTATGTGTCTCTTCCTCTCTCTCTATATATAGAGAGGTCTCTACATATACCAGTTGCCCAGCAAGCTGAGAAAGAGTTGCTGTTTGAATCCAAAGGCAGTCTGTTGGCAGAGTTTCTTCTTGCTTGGGGGAAATTAGTACTTGTTTCATTAAGGCCTACAACTGACTGGATGAGACCCACTCATATTATGGAGGGCAATCTACTTGACTCAGTGTCCACTGTTTTAAATGTTAATTTCATCCAGAAGACACCCTCATAGAAACATTCTGAATGTTAGACCAAATATCTGGGTGCTGGATCTCAGTCACAATGATATGTAGTATTAAACATCACAGATCCCCATTTTTGTCTATTCCATTAAGCTGAATTAATTTCTGAATCTAAAAATAGAAATGATGGTTTTAATTTAAAAAAATTCCAATTTAAGTTATACTTTTTAAACACAATATTTATTAATGAACTCTTATGTGAATTCAATCTAGCCATAGTCTTTTCTTATTCTATTTATTTTAATTTGTATTAGTTATATATACTTTCTTAGTTTCTTAAATACTTAGCGATTAATTTGATTATTTTTGCTTTCATCTGATATTTGACATATATTCTTAATAATGCCACCTTTAATTAATATTTGGTTGACTGATATCTCACAATAACCTTATTTCTTTTATTAAGCAAGGTATTTTTAAATTAAAACTAAAAAGCAAAATTTTGTTTAAAATTGTTTAAAATTACTTGTCTTGCCTTCTTAATCTTATATTGTCCAAGTTTAATAATTTAACCTGACAGTTTAAAATCATTAATATTAATGAATTCATCAGAAAATAGACATGATAAAATGTTTTTGATATTGCATTGCAGTGATCATAATTCATTTAACAGTCAAAAAGGCAGTCTGCACATAAAACATATCTAAAATTGCTAGTAAAAGTAGCTAGTATATTGTAATGTAATAGAATTACTTGTAATAGAGTGAAACTAAGAAACTTGAGGAATTGACATTAACATTTTAAAATGACAGAAAGTTTCAAAGGTTTTCAAGCATTTTTTTTCCAGAAATGTATGGTAATGATTACAATGTGAAGTCTAAAAAAGTGCCTGATAAACAAATAGATATATATCTTTGCAAATATCTCACTCTTTAAAATACTCTGCATTATAGTTTGCATTGCTTTGTAATATATATATCTTAGTGGTGTTGAAAAACTGATACCAAACGCAGACTTCTGACTTGTTGAATAGTTCAGACCTTAAATAAAGGGCCAAAATTAAATATTGGTTGGCCAACTTATTCATATATACTCTATCTTTCTGTCTGTGAACACACGTGCACACGCATGCATACACACACACAATTCAAGTGAAATATAAAATAAAAAGTAATGTTAAATGCATTTTAAGTTTAAGCTTTAAATGTAAGGTAGCTAGACATATAACATATCATAAGTGGAGAAAATTTCTTGGTAGTAAGAGACATTAGGATTATATGGTACAATTTTAATAGTACAGACTCAGGTGTAAGATTGCCTGTGTTTAAATCCTATTTATTTCAACTCATGACTTGTTTTCTCATCTCTAAAATGATCATATTTTATAATATCATTGATGGGGTAGCCTCAATAGGGACAACGATTAATAGTGACCAGTCTGCCCATCTCTGTGTAGTCTTGATCATTGTACCATGTTATCCAGCTTAAAATCACAGAAAGATATTGAGGGGCTGGATTTTCTGGTTTTTTTTTGTTGTTGTTGCTTTTTTCACTATAATTATTGGAGTAAATTGCTCTTACAATCCCAGTCACTGTTATAAATGTTGGGTGTTTAGGGGGAAAGGGTTTGAAAAATAGCTGGAAAATAGTAACCAGCAAAATGTGTATTTTTGTTTTATTAATCAGATGGCTGTAGTTTGTTTTTAAAGTTTGTCATATTACCAAAAATGTTATAAAAACAAGTCTTTCTGTCTATCCCAGCTACTCAGGATGCTGAGGCAGGAGAATTGCTTGAACCTGGGAGGCAGAGGCTGTGGTGAGCCAAGATCATGCCACTGCACTTCAGCCTGGGCTACAAGAGAGAAACTTCATCTCAAATATCCAAACCATAGTTAGGCTCCTCATTGCACCCAGCATGGGGGAGCTCCTTGCCACGCGAGTGCACACTTCCGTGTGTTTTGTAACAACTGACCCCTCAAATGCAAGTCAAGATTGAGTTACCTGTTCAGAAATGACACCTAAACTGGCACTTCTGGGCTTGCTAAGGGGCAGTGAGTCTGGAACCTGCAGAGGACACAGAGGAGAATGTCACGTGAGTCTACACGGGCTGCTATCACAAAATACCTTAAACTGGGTGATTTATTATTGCTGCACGAGTAACCACGGGTTTTGCCATTGAAAGTAAAGGCAAAACCTGGCCGGGCCTGGTAGCTCACTCCTGTAATCCCTGCACTTTGGGAGGCCGAGGCTGGTGGATCACCTGAGGTCAGGAATTCAAGACCAGCCTGGCCAACATGATGAAGACTATCTCTACTAAAAATACAAAAACAAAAACCAAAAAAAAGCCCACAAAAATTAGCCAGGTTTGGTGGCAGGGGCACCTGTCATCCCAGCTACTTGGGAGGCAGAGGTTGCAATGAGCCGAGCTCCTGCCACTGTACTCCAGCCTGGGCAACAAGAGTTAAACTCCTTCTCAAAAAAAAGAAAATGAAAGTAATGGCAAAAAACGTGCTTACTTACTTTCTCACTGATCTAATTTAAAGAGCAGACATTTGGCCAGGCTCAGTTGCTTACACCTGTAATCCCTGCACTTTGGGAGGCAGAGGTGAGAGAATCACTTGAGGCCAGGATTCTCTCACCTCGGGAAAACCAAATCTCTACAAAAAATTTAAAAATTAACCATGTGTGGTGGTGCATGTCTATAATCCCAGCTACTCAGGAAGCTGAGGTGGGAGGATTGCTTGGCCCCAGGAGGTGGAGGCTGCAGTGAGTTGTGATTGCATTACTGCACTCCAGCCAAAAAATTAACCAAACCCTCAAGTTCCAGCATCCCCTGGTCCATGGCTCTCCATTGCCCACCTCAGATGCTACCTCCACCCACTCTCATGGACAATCTCCATTTGCAAAAAAGAAACAGGCTGTGAAGGGTTGACAGTCTGGGCAGGAACTAAGACATCCGTCTCTGCTTCCTGGTGTCCTGAAGGGAATTCTGTGACCCCAGCTTCCAGGGGTGGCCATCCTCCCAGGACCTGCGCGTGTCTTACTCCTATGACCAGCTGGGCTGTCCTCTCCTCATCTACGACGACACTCCATGGAAGCTTGTGGTCCAGCTGTAACACCCTGGGAGCTGCTGCAGGGTGGGGATGGTGGCAGGGCCTCATGCTCCCTGGCTGTGGGGTACCAGCCTAGCCCTCCAGGTTCCCCTAGATTCCTCAAAACGATGACACTCACTGTTTCCCACCGTGCTCCTGCCCCGGCTCCACCAGCTTCCCAGGGCCCTCTCCCTGGAACACCTTTTCCTTGAGACAGGGTCTTGCTCTGTCTCAAAGTGGAGGGCAGTGGCACGATCTCAGCTCACTGCAACCTCTGTCCCCTGGGCTCAAGTGATCCTCCCACCTCAGCCTCCTGGGTAGCTGGGACTACAGGTGCCCACCAGTATACCAGGCTAATTAGCAGAGATGAGGTTTCACCTTGTTGGCCAGGCTGTCTTGAAAAGCAGAGTGTTGAGATTACAGGCGTGAGCCACCGTACCCGGCCTAAGTGTTTTTTTAGTTTTGAGATGCAGTCTTGCTCTGTTGCCCAGTATGGAATGCAGTGACACCATCTTGGCTCACTGAAACCTCCGCCTCCTGGACTCAAGCAATTCTCCTGCCTCAGCCTCCTAAGTAGCTGGGACAAGAGGTATATGCCACCATGCCCAGCTAATTTTTCTATTTTTAGTAGAGACGGGGTTTTGCCAGGTTGCCCAGGCTGGTCTTGAACTCCTGAGCTCAGGGGATCCGCCCACCTCAGCCTCCCAAAGTGCTGGGATTATGGACGTGAGCCACCACACCCAGCCCCAAGCGGACTTTTGTTTCCTCCCCATTATCAATGCTCAATGTTGGCTGCTGCCCATCTCCCTGTCCACCCAGCTCTGTCTCCTGGCCTCCCTGCAGCCTGCATACTGCAGCCTTACCTGGGAGGGACAGGGGTTCTTTGGTGGCTGTGGGCCGGGTCTTCCTGGGTCGCCGCTGCTCCCCACGCAGCTCTGCCCTGTGCGTGTGTCCTAGGTGGCGAAAAGACAGTTTCCAGGAGGTTGTTGATGCCGAGTATGTGTTACTGGAATCAAACAGACAGTTCTCCTACATGTATTCCCTGACGGCTGAGTCGGCGCTGTGAACCTCCCAGCCACAGAACTGGACCACCGTGATAAAGGAATTCGGGGGGCCTTATTCTGGAACAGAGAGGTAATGGGACCCTATGATTGTTTCCAGAAGAATCAGCATCCCACCAGAGGGTGGGAGAGCACGTGAGGACACGGTGCAGCCCTGGAACTGAGTATGGAAGGAAAGACTCGTCCGGGCATGGTGGCTCATGCCTGTCATCCCAGCAGGTAGGGAGGCCCAGGCAGGTGATCACATGAGGTCAGGAGTTCATGATCAGCCTGGCCAACATGGTTAAACTCCATCTCTCAGCCCGACATGGTGGTGGGTGACTGTAATCCCAGCTATTCGGGCTTGAACCCAGGAGGAGGTTGCAGTGAGCCGAGATCTAGGCACTGCTCTCCAGCCTGGGCAACGGAGGGAAATGCAGGCACCAAGCTGTTTGGGGGCTTTGCTGATATGAGAGAAGTCTAGGACCATCCCAGTGGTTGCTACTGAGGCATGGATGAAATTCCCAGGCTGTCCTACTCAGTGTGCATTTGTTTTATTTATTTATTTTTTTAGACAGGGTCTTGCTCTGTCACCCAGGCAGTGCAGGATTGCAGTGGCACAATCTCAACTCACAGCAGCCTCAATGCTCAAATGATCCCCCCACCTCAGCCTGCCTCCCAATTACCTGGGACTTCAGATGTGTGCCCCCACACCAGCTTTTTTTTTTTTTTTTTGAGGCAGAGTCTTGCCCTGTAGCCCAGGCTAGAGTACAGTGGTGAGAACTTGAGTCACTACAACCTCTGCCTCCCGGGTCCTGGTTCAAGGAATTATCTTGCCTCAGCCTCCCAAGTAGCTGGGATTACAGGCATGTGCCATCAAGCCCAGCTAATTTTTGTATATTTAATACAGACGGGGTTTCACCATGTTGGCCAGGCTAGTCTTGAACTCCTGACCTTGTGATTGGCCCACTTTGGCCTCCCAAAGTAATTTTTTTTTTTTTTTTTTTGGTGGAGACGAGGTCTCATAGTGTTGGCCAGGCTAGTCTCAAACTCCTGACATCAGGTAATCCACCCACTTCAGCCTTCCAGCAGGATGGTGTTAGAGGCATGAGACACTGTGTCCAGCCTTATTTTTATTTTTATTTTTTTTGAGATGGAGTCTCCCTCTGTCACCCAGGCTGGAAGGCAGTGGTGAGAGCTCTGCTCATTGCAACCACCACTGACTGGGTTCAAGCCATTCTCTTGCCTCAGCCTCCCAAGTAACGAGGATTACAGGCACGTGCCACCACACCCAGCTAATTTCTGGTTTTTTATTAGAGATGGGTTTCACCATGTTGGCCAGGCTGGTCTCGAACTCCTGACCTCAGGTGATCCACCAGTCTTGGCCTACCAAAGTGCTGAAATTACAGGCGTGAGCCACTGCACCCGGCCACAAATACTCATTTCACAGTCCTGCACTGGGTGCTGGCGGAAGAGTGGTGACTGGAGGCAGCACCCCTGCCCTGGTGCACACAAGTTACTCTCTCCCACTCCCCATGCCTGGGGTGTGCTGAAAGCCTCAGGCCAGAACAGGCTCAAACTGGCTCGTAGGAGTATTCCTCAAATAAACAGGAATCTCCAGCCTGTCAAACATGGTGAAACCTCATCTCTACTTAAAATTTAAAAATTAGCTTGGGCATGGTGGTGGGTGCCTGTAATCCCAGCTACTCGGGAGGCTGAAGCAGGAGAATCACTTGAACTGGAAAGGTGGAGGTTGCAGTGAGCCGAGATAGTACCACTGCCCTCCAGCCTAGGCATGCCTGTAATCCCAGCTACTCGGGAGGCTGAGGCAAGAGAACTGCTTGAACCCAGTGGGCAGAGGTTACAGTGAGCTGAGACCACCACATTGCACTCCAGCCTGGGCTATAAGCATGAAACTTTGTCTAAATAAATAAATAAAGCAGCCCAGAGGTTAGAGAGGAGGGGTCTGACCTCATCAGGAGATCAAAGAAGGCCTCTCAGCAGGTGGGAGTGGAAAGATCAGTGCCCCATCAGGAGGCCTTCCTCTCAGGCACAAGGAAACATGTGGACTCTTGAAACAGGATAGGGCACACGCAGCTCTGGCATGCTCAGGGTGACATGAGGCTGGGATGCAGCACTCTGGCAGGACGGCATCAAGAGCTGTATTCTTGGTCCCTTCCTCCCCAGGTGACAGCTCAGGTGTTGGAGAATGAGACTTACATGAGATAGGACCTGCCCTGGCTCAGATGCTTCATGCCCCACAGGAGCTAACAGCTCTTGCCACAGCAGTCTAGGAACTTAGCGTTCAGAGTCCCCTGAGAGGACGAGAGCACAGAGAGAAGTCCAAGGCTATAGCTTCCAACCAGGTATTCAGTCAGTGGACACAACTTCCAGCCCAGATGCAATTTCGGGCTTTGTTTGTTTGTTTTGAGACAGGGTCTTGCTCTGTCATCCAGGCTGGAGTGCAGTGGCATGATCTCAGCTCAGTGTACCCTCCCCCTCCCAGATTCAAGTGATTCTTCTGCCTCAGTCTCCTGAGTAGCTGGGATTATAGGTGTGCACCATCATGCCCGGCTAATTTTTGTATTTTTAGTAGAGACAGGGTTTCACCATCTTGGCCAGGCTGGTCTTGAACTCCTGACCTCAAGTGATCCACCTGCCTCAGCCTCCCAAAGTGCTGGGATCACAGGCATGAGCCACCTCACCCAGCCTAGGGGTCATTTTTAGCACAAGAAGTATTGTCTGGAAACACAGCTGACTGGCCACCTTATCAGAAGGTTAACCCTTTATCATCAAGGGGGAATGAGTGGAAGTTAAATTAGGCTCAAACATTAAAATTAGATTAGGGGGAGTGGAAATGGTGTCTAGGCAGTGGGAATAAATGCAAAGACCCTGAGGTGGGTGGGTGCCTGGAGTGGTTGAGGAACACAAAGAAGGCCTGTGTGGCTGGAGGAGAGTAAGCATGGGAGGAGGTGTGAGTGTGCATGAGAGAGAGAGAGACATGGGATGAGATCAGAGAGGTCCCAGGGGCAGATCACACAAGACCTTACAGAAATACCTAAGGAAGTGAGGCAGATCACTTGATGCCAGGCATTGGAGATTGGCCTGACCAACATGGCAAAACTAGAAATACAAAAGTTAGCCGGGCATGGTGACATGTGACTGTAGTCCCAGCCACTCTGGAGTCTGAGGCAGGAGAATCACTTGAACTAGAGAAGCAGCGGTTGCAGTGAGTCAAGACTGCACCACTGCATTAAAGCCTGGGCAACAGAGCAAGACTCTGTCTCAAAAAAATAAATACATATAAATAAAAAGAAATAACAAAGCAAGTGTGAATGTATCGTGAGTGACTCTACTAAGTAAAGACTGAACGCGTTCTCAGCCACTGATAGCATTACTACCAACCAGCTCAGTGATGTTGCTTTTCCTGGCCAGGAAGGCCTGCACTTTTCCCCTGGGGCGCACCTTTCTGTACACCAGGCCAGTGATGGCCGACTGCAGCCTCATCTGCAGCACCTTGGGCTGGTACCTGTTCTGCTGCTCAGTGTTTGCAGGCAGGCCGAGAGGAACATCAGCATGGCGAGGAGGCAGCCCTTCCAGGCTGGAGGCTTGGGATCACCACTAAACTCCAGGAAAAGGCTTCCAGGGGAAGGAGGGAGAAGGTGCAGCTGGTGAGATGAGGTTCCCAGGTGTGCTGTCTTTGCCCAAACCAGGCCAGGTGTGGAGGATCAGTCGGCCTGGTTGACTTTTTGCAATCATGATCTCGGTTATTTCCCCCACAGTCCATGCTTTTCAATCTGACTGCGGAGCCTCAAGATCAAGAGACGGCGTTTTTGTTCCCACTTGTTATGGGCTAAATTTTGTCCTCACAAAATTTGTATATCAAAGCCCCAACCTCCAGTGCCTCTGAATGTGACTGTATTTGGAAATAGGGCTTTTAAAGAGGCAACGAAGTTAAAATGAGGTCATTAGGCTGGGCCCTCATCCAGTCTGACTGGGGTCCTTATAAGAGGAGAAAATGTAGACACACAGGGAGACACCGGGTGGACACAGAGGAAACCATATGATGACACAAGGAGGAGGCGGCCAACTGCATGCCAAGGGCAGACACCCCAGGTGGAACCAACTTACTGATACCTGATCTGGAACTTCCAGCCTCCAGAATCGTGAGAAAACTACATTTTTGTTGTTGAAGCTACTCAGTCTGTGATGTACTGTTATGGCAGCCGAGCAGACACCACTTGAATCTGGTCTGGCCACAAAAGCACCTTTGACCAACAGAGTACAGTGGAGGTAAAGCTTTGCTGGCTGTGAGCCTAGGCCGCAAGAGAAAATGGGGCTTTTGGCCTATTGCTGGGAGCCCTCCCAAGCCACCACATGAACAAGTCTGAGCTAGATTTTTGGAGATGGGAACCCACATGGAACAGAGACAACCATTCCAGCTTCAGATACAGAACTGCAGGCACATAAGAAAACTGAGCCAAGAAAAGAACCACCACCCAGCTGAGCACAGCCCCCATTATTGACCCACATTACTATGAACTAAATAAAAGAATGCTTGTAATTTTAAGCCATCACTTTCGAAGCATTTTATAGCAAAAGCTAATTGATGCAGTCAGGTAACAGCTTGCTTATTTGCCTTTCTGGGGGTCAGTCACTTTCTCATTAATATTCCTTCCTCAGTATCCTTCTCACCAACCCTCCAGTGTCCGGAGCACCAGATCTATAGGCAGAGGCAGGAGAGCTGAAATGCCTGACCCTGGAGGGATGCCATTAAAAGACCACCAGCCTTAGCAGGGCACCTGAAGTCTGGATTCACCTGAGCAGCTTGGGGACAGTGAACCCGAAGACATCACTGATGATAAGGCTGCAGGTTCCCCAGAGGAAGGTAGAATGGAACACCTGCCAGATGGCCTTCAGCAGTGGGCCCCACTGGCTCCCTTCTTGCCGTAGGAAGGGCTGGGTTTCTGCAGCCTCCATGCCACTGCCTCCTTTCCTTTTAAACACTATTGCCTTGGCACGCCTTAGGGGAGGGGAGCGGTTGGCTCTGGGTCCCATTTTATACTCTCAGCCATCAGCAGCAGGACCAGGAATTAAAGGCTTGTTTTCCCAACAATAAGCGTGGGTGGGTGTGGCTCCAACCTGGCTCCCTCACCTGTGCCTCCTTATCACCCTGAGTACCCATTTAAGAGGCAGTCACAGGAGTTGTGGGGGAAGGGCAGGAGGGCAGCCCTGAGGCCTCTTAGATGGCCATGGGAAAGCACACGTGTTGAGCACCTACTACGTGCAAGGCACTCACCAGTCATCCTAAGACCCCCTGGCAAGCCAGGTGCTGTTCCCATTTCACAGATAAGAAAACTGAGGCTCAGAGAAGCAAACTTGTTCAAGGGCACACAGCTGAGAAGTAAAACAACTGGGATTCAGTTCCAGCTCTCTGCCTCTAGAGTCCATGCACTTTTCATTTTTTGATTTTTTTGTTTTGAGATGAAGTCTCACTCTGTCACCCAGGCTGCCGTGCAGTGGCGTGATCTTGGCTCATTGCAACCTCTGCTTCCTGGATTCAAGTAATTCTCCCACCTCAGACTCCCGAGTACATGGGATTACAGGCAAATGCCACCACACCAGCTAATTTTTGTATGTTTAGGAGATGGGGTTTCACCATGTTGGCCAGGCTGGTTTTGAACTCCTGACCTCAGGTGATCTGCCCGTCTCAGACCCTAAAGTGCTGGTGTTACAGACATAAGCCACTGCACGTGGCCTCCCACGTACTTTTCAATCTATCATGTTGTCAACCTGGAGGAAGAACAGCATCCCCTCCCCCCACACACAACCAGCCAGCCCTTAGGTGGTTTGGAACCAGTGGAGAATCACAGCTGATGTGCATGGGGCCTGGTGCTCTGGCTCTGGGTGAAAGCAGACAGAAGCTCAGGCTGCCTCAAACTCATAAGATCCCCAGCTTTGGCCATAACCAGGGGCCACAGAGAAGAGCTAAAGTGAAGAAGGGAGAGAAGGTGGTAGGGGGATGCCCCCTCTGGGGCAAGTCAGAAGCCTGCGGCCATAATGGAGAAGCTGGGGCAATATAGCTGCTGACAGCCGGTTGCTTTGTGGTCTTTGGTGGGTGGACTGCTCCCCTCTCTGTGTGTAAGAGGATGGGTGTGGTCCCCCCTTTGAGCCCTTTGTGTGCCTCTGACGATCTATAAGGTTATCAGTAATTGCTTGCTTGCTTTTTTGAGACAAAGTTTCACTCTTGTTGCCCAGGCTGGAGTGCAGTGGCACCATCTCAGCTCACTGCAACCTCCATCTCCCGGGTTCAAGTGATTCTCCTGCCTCAGCCTCCCGAGTAGCTGGGATTACAAGTGCACATCACCATGCCCAGCTAATTTTTGTATTTTTCATAGAGATGGAGTTCCACCGCATTGGCCAGGCTGTTCTTAAACTCCTGACTTCAGGTGACCCACCAGCCTCAGCTTCCCAAAGTGCCATGATTATTATAGGTATGAACCACCGTACCTGGCCACTTATCAGTAATTTCAATCCCCATTACAAATCTGTGACCCAGGGCCACGTGCAGACATCAGCTCTTTACACGAAGGAGCTCACTGACTTCCCTGGACCCCCTTGCCAGATGGGTATTATTAGGCTCTCCATTTTACAGAAGGGGAAGGAAACTGAGGCTCTGAGAGGTGGTAATAACAGTCCAAGGTCACATAGCAAGGGCAGAGCAGGGATTGGAGCCTAGATCTTGACTTCTGGTTCACAGAGTGTTTCCTGTGCACTAAGGACTCCCAACCCCACCATAATAATAAAAGAAGCATAAGAAAAATCCTCTTGTGAGCTCAGGTGGCCAGATCCTTCCGGGCCAAAGTCTTTGTCCCTCATTCCTGGCCTGATCTGGTGTTTGATTTGGCATCTATGGAGGGTTGTGGCTCAGCTGTGTTACTGAGTGGGCATGGCCTGCTGCTCACAGGTATTTTGGCATTTGGGTCTCAAAGCCAAGAAGATGCCCCTTCCATGCAGAGAGCATCCCTGACTACCCTTCCTGTCTGATCCCGCCAGTTCATTCGTTGCCTTCACAGCCTTGCCCATGGCCCCAACCCTTTCTTTGTCTTGTTAGAATCCAGGTGGGTAGGTAGACTTTGCCTGAGTTTTTCACCGAGATGTCCCCAGTATTGAGTCCAGCTCCTGCACACAGTAGGAGCTCATAAACACTTGTCTAATGAATGGGAAAAACAGACTGAGTGATGTGTGTAAAAGGGCCTAACAAGAGTGCCGAGCACATACTGTTATAAACATTATAGAAGGATGGAGCCTGGTTGGGTGGACAGGACTTGGCTTTGGAGCCAGGAAACTATGGTTCCGATGCCTGTTCTGTCTCCTCTCCTCTGAACCTTAGTGCTTCCAACTGTAAAATGGGGTTGAGGAAGAGCTGACTGGGAAGTTTTCTTTCTGGCTGGAAGTTTGCTCAGTTCTATTCTAGCTGTTTGCCCAGAGAGTCAGTGTGTTCAGCCTGCAGGCTCCATAGCAAGTGTTTTCCTCTCCTGGAGGTCTCACCTCCCATCAAGGAAGAGATACAGATTGCTATCTGATGTCTGGTCTCTGGACTGAAGGCCATTTAGTGCACAACTCACAAATGACTGTGGGGCAAGGCAGGGGGTATGCATGAGTGGCATGGGCAAGGTGTGAGTTGGGGGATAAAAAAGGGAGTGATGGAGGCCAGGTGCGGTGGCTCAGACCTGTAATGCCAGCATTTTGGGAGGCCAAGGCAGGTGGATCACCTGAGGTCAGGAGTTCAAGACCAGCCCGGCAGCCTGAGCAACATGGAGAAACCCCACCTCTAATAAAGAATACAAAAATTAGCTGAACCTGGTGGTGGGTGCTTATAGTCCCCGCTACTTGGGAGGCTGAGGCAGGAGAATCATTTGAACCCAGGAGGTGAAGCTTGCAATGAGGCAATGTGGTGCCACTGTACTCCAGCCTTGCTGACAGAAACAGAGAGAAGGAAGGGAGAAAGGGAAAAAGAAAAGAAAGAGAAGGAAGGAAGGAAAGAAGGGAGGGAGGGAGGAAAGAAAGAAAGAAAAAGGAAGGAAGGAAGGAAGGAAGGAAGGAAGGAAGGAAGGAAGGAAGGAAGGAAGGAAGGAAGGAAGGAGAGAGAAAGAGAGGTGGGGACAGACTGCAGCAAATCGAAGTCTGCACAGCTTGTCCAATGCCATAAGCTCTACCGAATCCACTCTCCTACTGCCTTGTAAAGATGTGGCCTAGTGTTGCCAGATGTACTTTAAGAGGGATCAGAATTCCAGATTTTTATTTTTATTTATTTGTGTTTGTATTTATTTTTTGAGACAGAGTCTCACTCTATCAGGCTGGAGTGCAGTGGCATGATCTCAGCTCACTGCAACCTCCACCTCCCAGGTTCAAGCAATTTTCCTGCGTCAGCCTCTCCAGTGGCTGGGATTATAGGCACTCACCAGCACACCCAGCTAATTTTTGTATTTTTAGTAGAAATAGGGTTTTACCATGTTGGCCAGGCTGATCTCGAACTCCTGACCTCATGTGATTTGCCGGCCTTTGCCTCCCAAAGTGCTGAGATTTCAGGCATGGGCCACTGCACCCAGCCTTGATTTCCAGATTTGTATGTGATCTCTCCAAATTTTTAAATATTGGCAACTTATTAAAAAACAAAACAATATAAACAACCACAAAACCCCATGTGCACCAAACATACCTCGTGAAGCTGACCTGATCAGCAGGTGGCTCTTTCGTGACCTCTCAGGAGGACGCTCTCTCCCTTCCCCCAGTGGTTGCAAAATATTTCAGACAGAAAACCAGAGTTCTCTCTGGGTGCAGTCAGTTGGCTCAGAAGCCGACGGAGCCCAGTGTTTGTATCAACCCGTCCTTCCCCTTTCTTTCCGTCAGTTGTTTACAGGAGGATTCTCAAACTGCTCTGGAGAATGTTTCTACCTTTTAGTTCCAGTGTCGGGTGACCTGTCATTTCCAGGTTGGCTGGGGATGCCAGGAGTTGGCAGAGGCTCATTCCAGAGCCCCTGTGGATTGAATTCTGCCACTTCTCTAAAGTCATTTAAAAGTAGAGGGTGAGTCAGGCACAGTGGCTCACACCTGTAATCCCAGAACTTTGAGAGGCCAAAGCAGGCAGATCACCTGAGGTCAGGAGTTCAAGATCAGCCTGGCCAACATGTGAAAACCTGTCTCTACTAAAAAAATACAAAAATTAGCTGGGCGTGGTGGCGTATGCCTGTGGTACCAGCTACACAGAAGGCTGAAGCAGGAGAATCACTTGAACCCAGGAGGCAGAGGTTGCAGGGAGCTGAGATCATGCCATGCACTCCAGCCTGGGTGACAGAGCAAGACTCTGTCTCAAAAACAAAACAAAACAAAACAAACAAACAAACAAACAACAACAACAACAAAAGTGGAGGGGGGTCCAGCAAGCTACGCCTGGGGGAGAGAGAGCTGATGTTTTGGCTCATGCTACTTACTCTCTTTCCTTTGTGGGAACAGCCCCTACCCTCTTCTGTGGCTCTGAAGGGACTACCAG